CAAAGGGAGATATGCAAAGCAAATGGATAAGGACCCCCCCTGGGGTGCGATAGCGAGCGCTAGCAGCACACCATTAGCTAAGTTGCTTCACAGAGAAGCCGGTGGGGAGCTTCTGAATAATATGTAACTGTGCTAATCTTTGAGGCAGAAAAATAAAGTGATTGTCGATGAGGAAACAATAACATGTACCGTCGTCACTCAAGGAAAGGATGAAAGGGAACCGTGGCAGGACGTGAAGATGAAAGTAGTGCTAAGCTACTGGGAGAGGTAAACACGGAAAGCCCTTAGCAGTTTGAGGCGAGTAAATCAAACCAATGTCTGTTTCTTTGGGAAGAGAATAACAACAAACCACAGTTCTGTAAAACTGCTCAACAGCGGTAAGCTAGTGAGTGACGAGCTTAAGGTACAAAAGCAAACAGCTGGTTTCTGTTGCTAGCACCCCTACACTGGTCAGCTTTTTCTATGAGCATAATTTTTTAATTATGTGGTTACAGAGTTCCAACTGTATAGAAATCTAAGCAAAACAAAAATAAGACTCTTGCATTTATAATGGGAACATGGTTTTACATGTTGTTATAATGTTTCCAGCTAAAATTTACTTTAAAATTGGGGGAAAAAATTTTACCAACAGCTACAAAGTAGTTGATTTTCTATGGCTCTCAGTTAAAAATTTAAGTCTGTTTGAAAGATATTACAAAAATATCACATAATCTGGCATCTCACAAATCAAGATGGTACTTTATTGTGCTTTAAAATACTACTATATGTGCCTGAAGAATACACGGTACCGCCTCTTTAAAACTACAACTAAAGTTAGTGTGTTTTTCTGATCAGGTCAATCAAAATACAGGTCATAGATTTCGGAACTGATAATCATCAGTTCTGATGCAATTGATGCTTTTGGATAAGAAATACAAACAATAAGGTCATGTTATATAATCACAATTAATACATTTTAATGTTGATGTTTGTTTATTTCAGCAACTCAATTTATTGAGTGAAACATTATGGAGATTAATTAGACACAGACTGAGGATTTCCAGCCTTTATTTCTGTTAAACATTATATCTCTTTGTTTACAGGCGATGAAAGTGCAACTTTAAGACTATGTCATAACAGTAACATTTCTAAAACAGAAATAAGAAGTATTTTCAGAACATATTTTAATCTGACAAGCCTCGTTCGACCCATATTCAGCAATCTGACTTATAGAATATGACCTTGTTTTTGCTGAAAACTGTTGTGTTTGTATCAAAATGCTGTGAAATTGTTCTTTTTAACAAAATTTACTGACTTGACATATATATATATATATATATATATATATATATATATATATATATATATATATATATATATATAATGTTTTTAAGGAAAATAATGGGAACATGTAATTTATCCTTTTTGAAAAATACTGGATCAACTGACTTTAAGTGAATATTGGTGACATGGCTTCTTTTATTATACTTAATTTCAGTTAAATTATATTAACCTAAATATATTAAAGTAAATCTCTGTAATGTACTTTTTCTTTAATTTAAAATTTTTGCGATGCCCTGTGTTTGTAATTCCTTTTGGTTCAATCTTCTGTAACACAAAATGAGGAACATAATGAAAGGAGAGCAAGTTAACACGTTGGACAAAAGGTATTTTTGGGGAAATTTACCTTAATACATCAGAGAAAGGCTGCCGTTAAAATGATATACTAATAAGAAGAAAAAAAAAAACTTTGAAAGAGAAATTTGGTGAACGCCTGAGTCCATTAGTGGCATCTTCCATAAAGAGCTGTTTAAAGGAGAAACAACTCCAGTTCCATTAGGCATTTTTAATGGTTTCAAAAACAAAACAGAAAAAAGCATAAATAGATGGCTCCACAATGTCTGACAAAGGAGAAAAAGGACCAAATGTAAGTTTTATGTTATCTGCAGAAAAGCTGATCACACTTCAGAGAGACACAGAGAAAAAATAATGACATGTCCTCCTATTTTGTCTCTAATTTGTTTCTTTAAACACTTAGTTTTGGGAGTTTATATTTCCATTTTGAAAGTTTGATGTAATTTATCTCTGCATGCATCTTTTTAACATCACTAGTCCCTCATCACCACGAAGAAAAAAATAACATTTTGATCGGCAGCTATGATGGAACACCTGCTGTTTTTTTTCTTCATCACCTTCTACACTCCAAGGGTGGTAGTGGCACTTCTGGGGAAGTAATTTTAATAAAAAGGCATCTGTTTTTCATAATTATCACAAAATCCAGGCAAGATCTCATTACAAAAGTACTTGCATTAAAAAAAAGGTAGTGCCAGTTTGGAAGGCAGAGAATAACTCTGAATCTCTTATTTTCTACTGATAATCAAAACTCTTGATATCTATCATTTTTCTTGATTGGATTAACATAGTGTCACATATTGACAATTACCCATCTGTCATACTATTGTTTTGTTTCTTTCGTTTTTTTTATTATTTGGAGATAATAGCAAATATAGGTTTAACATAAACTTCATTGTACCAACATGTTTCATGTTGTATTACGAATATTTAGAAGTTCTAAACCTGCAAAGTTTACATTGATTATCTTTTGAGATATGCGTGTATAATTTCCTATCAGAAACACACTTCGATGTCATTGAAAATTTTGGGAAGAATTTGGAATTTCTAAAATATACATCATGTGCAGATTTTTGTTTCTTCAATCACCCTGATGTTCACATCCCTTCCCTAAAAACACTGACATATTCAGCAGGGACGAAGGAATCCTTCACACGCACCATCCACCTTTTCATGTATGACTCACATTTCTTTACGCACCGTTACATTTGACGATACTTGATAAACACGTACAGCTGAACCCAGGGTGCTTTCTCACTATTAGAGGTAATAGTGAGCTCACCACTCTGTTATTACTTAATCTGTTGTGAGAGACGATAATGCTAAGAGCGCTTCATAAATCAGTGACGATTTGGAAAGAAATGAAGCTTTTCCCGATACACAGAGAAACGCCCTAGAAACAGCAGAGAACACAGATGGTGTGAAGGATTAATGCTAATGAAAAAGATTAAATGATTCAAATAAACAAAAACGGAAGATCTGTTGAAAAAGATTTAAGATCACTTTTTAAAATAACCTATTTAAAAGGACATCATTGTGTTCTCAGCCACAGAGTCACTTTATAGCACAAACAAGTAACTATGTTGCCTTAAGTCAGTGCTTCTCAAATAGTGGGGCGGGCCCCCTTTGGGGGGCGCGGTGCGATACTTGGGGGGGCGCGTGTGATCCTGGGGAACAGGCTTTTTTTTTTGGCCGTACTAGTAGAAAGTGTAATTGCGCACAGTAGGCGGCAGTGGCGCTCTCATTGTTACTTCTGTCACGTTTGCGACAGTGCAACATTTTACGACTTACAAGACAACAGGTTTGCCTTGGTTAGCAGTGTTAAGTCAACAAAAAGCTCCGACTGCGTTCTGTCTATGGCCTCCGTTATTCAACAACCCCCAACATGAAAAAGTTTTTCACAGGGATGAAAAGAAAAGCGGAGAGAGACAAAGATAATGAGACAACAGAAAGTCAACCGAAAGCTAAGAAGAGGAAATACGACAAATCTTAGTTAGCGCTTGGCTTCACTGTGACTACAGTTGGAGAAGAGGAAAGACCGGTGTGTTTGCTGTGTCTAAAAATGCTCGCAGCGGACAGCATGAAGCCAAATAAATTAGTGCGTCACTTAAATACGTTACATCCCAATCACGCCGATAAGCCGCTAGAGTTTTTTCAGCGAAAACGTGCTGAATATTGCCAACAGTCATCCCGCTTTGTGAAGGCTACTTCAGTAAACCATCGAGCGCTGCTAGCATCATATAAGGTGGCGTACCAAATTGCGCAGTGCAAAAGCCCCACACCATAGCAGAGGAGCTGATACTGCCTGCAGCAGTAGACATGGATTTATTTATTTTTAATTTCAGGCATTGATGCACTTAAAATCTTTTCTGTTGCAGACTTAAAACACAATTTAATAAAGTTATTCTTTGTAAGTTTGACCATATGTCTTTCTTTTTTTCTTTAATGTTAATAAGGAAAAAATGTTATGCAGAGATGGATAGTCACGGTGGGGAGTGGGGGGCGCGAATAGTTTTTCTTCTTGCTAGGGAGGGGCGTAACGGAAAATAATTGAGAAGCACTGCCTTAAGTTGTTATAAAAATGCTCTATTTCAATCAGATATCACTTCAAAGAAATTTGACTTTGTAATTTAATGCATTGAAATTAGGCCTCTGTCTCTTTAAGAAAGTCCTGTTCTTTCCAACACTCCACCTTCACAACATGGCTCCTCTATTAACCCACTGTCAACTTTTTTGCCAGTGTTGCACAGAACAGTAGCTTGTATAATGAGTTCAGTAGATGCACAGCGTTTGCTGATTGCTGCTGGCTAGTCTGAAGGAGCTGGAGCTGCATTTTCAAGAAGACAACAATGACGTAAAGGTCAATTTAGCATGATGCTGCACCTTTAAGCAGATATGTTTACTCTCTCTCCAGCTGTGGTTCTATGATTCTTCCACATTTTTTCATATTTTATGTGAACACCCCATTGTAGAAGCTGAAAGTCAGCACTGGAAACCAATGTTCAACAAAATTCTGACCTTACACGTCTCAGTGAAGCTAACAGGACTAAAATCCAGCAATTGTTCACATACTTTCATACTTAACGGCACATGAAAATTAAGGAAATGCTTGAGTGCCGAGTCTTTGTGTACTGAAGGAGCAAGAAATCTTCAGCTGTTCTTGACTCATTAATAGCTGTGGGAATAAAACCTTAACTATGTGCAACTCCAGTTCCTTTATTTCCCAAAAATTCTGATAAAAAGGCTCGAGACAGATTTTCATGGCATTAGGGAGAAGAACTTTGCCATTACCTGACTTCCTGAAAGTCAGTAATTCTCTGGGACCAGTCACAGTTTCTGGTCGTTTATGATTTAAGCAAATGTTAATTAACTCCAAGGTGGCCTTGCAATAAGCTAAGGGAAGATACTGCGAGAGGTGTGTGTGTGATGAGACATACCTGAGGAAGAGCCTGGACCACTGTGTCCAGCAGGGCCCTCATGCCGGTTGCCATTTTCAGTAATTTCAGCACTGGGAAGAAATGGCAGACGATAAGAGAAGTTTGGCCGCAGGACAAACCGTCCAATTTTAGTAGATTTTCAAAACGCTACAGACAAGCTTGAGAGGCAATACAGTTCAGGTATCAAAAGGAAGAAGAAAAAAAAAGACGGTGAAACAGAAAACTAGAAAAAAAAGTCTTGCCTCAGATAGAGGTGAGTAATCAAGATACATTAGAGATAGACAGGGAACACGAGAGAGAGCGAGAGAAGCGATCAATAGAGGGAGATGTGTTTCTGGGCGCCACGCAGGAGACCCTCCGCTGTTCCCAGGCGTCCAATTTCTGAAGGAACACGGAGAAATCCACATGTATCACTGGGGATGTGTACTCCTTCACAGGTATCAGGAATATGGATGTGTGGTTACAAAGACTAATAAATAGCTAAAGTTTTCAAAGAAATGGAAATTGTTTTATGATTCTAATTCGAACATGAAAACAATTTTTTTTTTTTTTGTTTAAAAATGCATTGAATGTCTTTTTACAAAGACTGTAGTCATGAAATGCAGTACTCTAAAATATTTTGCAAAACAGTTCATGCTGCTCTTTGGAACTAACAAACAAAAATAAGATGTACACGGTAGCATTTACATTCATTAAACAGCCGCTATGTAGCATAAGCGTTCATTAGACACAAATTACTCAATGATAAAAGAAATAGATAATTTTCCAAATTAATTACTTCAAAGTGAAACGTATCAGCACTGGATGTCAATAAGAGTTAGGATTTGGAAAAGCTGAGCTATGTGGGTTGATGCTAGCCTGGTGAAACACAATTCCCTTGTTCTACGCCTCACTTTGTCAACTTTGAGGAACGTTTGCTTCCTGGAGGCGTGGACTCTGTTGAAGTTTTAAATTTTACCCAATTGCTAAAGGCTGGACGTGTCGGCGGTATGCTAGTTTGTTGCTCAGAAGCTTAGCGGACGTAGCATACATTGTAAACAACCGTCCGCCACTGAGAAGAGAAAATTGATGAGCCGAATGAAGCGCCTGTTAATGTTAATTGGCCCGGTACAAATTCTTCTGGAGAAATCCAGATGGCAGACCTGTCGACATTCAAAGACATTTTCCAAAATGCAAATAGACTCAAACACACTTGTCTATGGGGCAACATGTGGTAGATATCTGGAGACTCAATACTATCATCACATTTACATAAAATATCTTGGCTCGTGTTGTGGCGATCAGATCAAAAATGCCGCTGCCAGTCCATGTAAGACTTTCATGTAAGCAGCCCAAATCCTAAAATCCAAACATCACTGGCTCTATCCCAGAGAAGGGATTCCAAATCTGAAGTTTTGTGTTTGCTCTCAGATTGGTGGAGCCTGTGTGAATGGCTTGCTGCAGAGGATTTCAATATTAGGTCTGTAAATGATGACTTCAATATTAGTCTTGGGTCCCTGGCAGGGGCGGTTGGGCTTGGCAGAGATATAATGTCAGGGCTGTGTATTTGTTTGGCTGTGTGCTCGACGGCCAGAAATATGGGAGCTTTAGTCAGCTGTGCTCTGTTTACATAAGACAAAACTGTGTGAGATAATTGTGATGTTTGATGAGTCCAGAGATGGAAAAAAAAAATCTAACTGAACCACCGTAGCAAAAACTACATGGGAAAATAATGCCAGAATAAATCATTTACAGAAAGAAAAAATATTTTGCAGAATAGGGTTGTTTTTTTTTTATTATTACCGGGTGCTTTCACACCTGGTACACTCAATTCGATTGAGGACCAAACATATTTTGTTGCATTTTCAGCTGCTGTGGTTCGCTTTCACACCGCAATGCATCCAACGAACCATGCCTTGTGAGCAACCCGTTCCCCTCACAGGGCTGGTTTGCCTGTGGTGGCGCTGCATCAAGAACCACTGAAGAAAACAACATGGAAACCTCTGAAGAGGACATGAGTGCATCTTTCTCCTTCACGAAATGTAGACAAAAGTGAAGTGGCATCATATTTTAGCGGATGTAGGATTTTACTTTTGTAAGAAGACATTTCTCCCACTAGTGCTAGTCTAGCATGTTCGTTTTGGTTGTTCGTTTTGGTTGTATTTACTCAGAATACCTTGTGCTATAGTCCACTTCCTGCTTTTGGAGCAATCTCTGGTCCCATATGGAGTTGAAATGCACAGGAGTTCATCTTACCTGAACAGAGTCGGACAAGAGTTAAATCTCTTGTCCGTATTGGAGTTTGATTGCGCATTCTCACCTCCTCTAACAAACTACACTTTCCAAGCAAACAAACTAGAATTTGATTAAAGCAGACCACACAGGGCTGGTTTGAATACGTCTGTAAAGTTCAAAAGACACCCAGGTATCAATTTCTAATAGTTCTTACAGATTTTTAACCTTGTGGAGTGCATTTTCAGATGCATTTTCAAATACATTCCTTCAACAAAATGTGAACCATTTACACTTTCCATAAACAGGCAGAAGCACAAAAAGGTGGAAAATGACAGAATAATAACAGTTTAGTCATAATACAGAAAATAGCATCAACTTTAAATATTTTCTGTGTTGCTTTCAGAAGTCAAGGAAAGTTTTTCCAGAGTTCAGACAATGTGGCAAGTATAACAAGAGCATAAAAAAGACTGAAAGTCACTAGTCGTCCTCGCACGGTCAAAAGCCCCTCTTGTTTCCAAATTACAGCTAACTGTTGCAAAGTAATTAGCATATCACCCAAGGGTCCTCTCAGCAGTCCCTCAGCAACCCAGTGGAGGGCAAAGGGTGAACATAAACGGGGTGCGGATTATACAAGATTGATGTAATTAGACTTCATCCTCTTCAGTGTGAAGTTAAAGTACACTGTAAGCCTCGACGGATGTCTGCTTTAATTTCCTCTAAATATGAGGAAGCAAAGTGCCAAACGGGAGACATTTAAAACCGCTAATCAATTGGCTTTATTTAGCAGCAATGAAGGCAGCTGTACAAGTGATGCAGCTGCTTAAGGTATGAAGGGTTTGTTGTCTCTGTGCTTTTTGTTGTTGTTGCATCGACTGTAGGGGGAATTACCTCGGGCTATCCGGAGCACCCTCATGATCCTGATGATGGTGGGATTGATGGGAAGGGAGGCGTTGATCTCGATCTCCTCCAGAGTGATGCCCATCACAGACAGCAGAACTATAGCCAAGTCCAGCTGATTCCACCTGCACACACACAACAAGATCTCTATCATCTGAGATGTTAAATTAGACATTAATCAGGCAAAAAAGGAGCTGAGATTTGCCTAATTAAGTGTGTAGCTCTGATTTTAGGATTTCACATACAAAAAGCCTAAATTATACTAATTTCGCAGTGAATATTAATGCTTTGTATGAACTCGGTGCGCAATTTGCTTGACTTTCCAACCTGGCAGATGAATTGCTACCATTTGGCCATAACTTAAAAGGCTGGTGTTGTCATTAATATTAATAACAATAATGGAACGGAGATGCTAATACCTAATTGAAAGTATAGTCTCAAATAATTTGGCCCCCTGACATGGGGTCAGTATGTTTTAAATTGTATGAGTTGGGTCACACTTTGGCAGAAGACTGAGAAAAACAAGTTGATCTCGCCTGTGCATAAAGGTTGTCAACTTCTGAGACATATTTGCAAGGAAACCAGGGTACAGATGAAACCAGGAAACATATTTGCAAGGAAACCAGGGTACAGATGGGAGCAGTATTTAAAGAACTAATGTTACCGGTAAACTGAATCCGTAATATTTGCTACAGAAAAATAGAAAACTGCACTTGGTTCGCCATGCATGAGTAAGAAGCCAGATTACAATTGACAAATCCTTTCAGGGACAAAGATCTCAGATCTGGGAAATATTTCCTCATGACCATTTGTACATTTGGAGAAGAAATGGAGAAGCTTGCACAAGCCCAAGAATATTATTCCATCTGTGAAGGCTGGCAGCATCGTGACTTTGGGGCTTTTCTGCTGGTGGAAGGCTAAAGACAAGGAATGAATTTTAGGATTTGGCATCAGGCTGCTGGTCATAATGAGACAAAAAGACACAAAAATCAACACATTAAGAAGCTGCCCACCAGTCTATGATCACATTGGGTAGTAACTAGTTACCGTACTTTCCGGACTATTAGCCGCACCTGAATATAAGCCGCAGAAGCTAAATTGCATGATTTGTACATAAACAAGCCGCACCGGACTATAAGCCGCAGGTTTTTTATGTTTACGTAATTACCATATGGTTCGTGCACAGAGGGGATTGTTGGGAAAGAGGCAACTGTTTGGGGAATCTCCTATTTATTAACATTTCAACACAAATTGCATATTTGCATACGTTAACTGTTACAATTTAGTGCAATAGTAGCTCCCATTTATAAACATTTGAAGAAACAAGTTGCATATTTGCCTAACGTTTTCAACCATTTAGTGCAATAGTAGCTACAGAAGCTAGAGAACATATAAAGCTACAACAACAAATAAAGTGCTGTGACACGACAGTAAGTCTAAATTGCAGTAACACGGCTGCTTAAAATATACGGTTTATCAGCCTACCAGAAAAGTTATTACCATAACCCTCCTCTTCACCTTGGTGAAGTAAACGGCTGTAACCAGAAAAGTCAAGTCATTAATCCTCATCTTCGTCTTCTTCCTCCGTACTAACACCACAAAAGTCCTCATCTTCAGTGTCGGAAACAAACAGGTTCAGGGCTTCGTCAGTCACTCTCCCCTCTCTTTCGATGTCACTCTCAAAACCAACAAACTCCTTTTCGTCACTGTCGGAATCGAACAGCCTCTGAAAGGCCTCAGGTGTGGCGGCGTCCTCCTGTCAATCACGCAGCAGTCCAGCCTTTCTGAACCCGTTGGTGATTGTGAATTTTTTTACACTCCTCCACGCCATCAAGATCCACTCGCAAACTTGTGTGAGTGGATAATGAGGGTATCTCACAAACTGTCTTGTGCTCGCAATGTCCGTCTTTCTCGCTGTCGTTCTGTCTCGTACCACTCGCGGTAGAAGTCTGCTTCCGGAGGACCTCCGCGTTCCCGTGTGCGCGATTTCTTGTGTATTGAAGCAAATGTGACATCAACATGGTGGATGGTAAAATCCATAGATTTTATGGCAAGCCGTTTTAACATAAATTTGGTTTTGCCGCCCTTACATTCCAGATATCTCAAATTGTTTTATGACTAGACATTTTAGCAATTTAAGATATCTCTAATTATATTTTGACTAGACAAAATACCTATTTGAGATATCTCTAATTACATTCTGACTAGTCAAAATGTAATTGGAGATATCTTGAATTATTATTCTTACTAGTCAGAATATAAGTGCAGATATCTTAAATTACCATTCCGGATAGTCAAAATGTAGTTTTGTCTAGTCAAAATGCATTTTCAGATATCTAGAATATAATTACGGATAGTCAGACGGAACCGAATTTATGTTAAAATGGCTTGCCATAGAGATTAGGTATCCCCCTAGTGGCCGTTAGCTGTAAAAATCCATAGATAAGCCGCACTGCTATATAAGCCGCAGGGTCGAAAAAATGGGAAAAAGTCGCGGCTTATAGTCCGAAAATTACGGTACATTTACTTGAGTAACATTTTTGAAAAGATTCACCTTTAGGAGTATTTTTTAACAACGCTGTACTTTTGAGTAATTTTATAATGAAGTATTTCTATTCTTGAGTAAAATTTCTAGATTCTCTACCCACTTGAATGAACAAACATGTTTTAACCAAAAATTCACCAGACACACACATGCAGTTTTTGTTAAAGATTCATCAGTTCTGTTATTGAAAGACGCTGATTTGGAAAAACTTTATTTTGCCCAATTTGGTTATTTTTTTGTTACGTACAAGGATTATTGTCAGATTTCCACTTAACTTTATATTTCAGTCTATCTCATTATATATTTTTAAAACTTTACTCAGTACTTCAGTAGATGTTTTGCCAAATAGTTTTTTCACTCTTATTTAAGCAATTTCTTGGATGGAAACTTTTTACTTTTACATGGAGAGGAGTAGAAATATCTTGAAATAGTGCTACATCTACTTGAGTATCATTTCTGGCTACTGGCTGAGAATTATAAAAACTTTAGCATTCAACATGCTGGTAAAATTAGAGAATGACTTCACACTTAAATCTGCCAGCGGTAAAAAAACAACAACAAATAGGCTGAACTGTCATTTCCACAAGAGCTGTCCAGTATTAACATGTTTCAAAGCAGGACGCCCTTAAAAAAGCACATTAATGAACAATATAGTTGAAAGCAGGCATCTGCTAAAAAGCCAGAGGTTCACCTGTCCTTGAAAAAGCGGCGGAAGCCGAAGGCTACTAGCTTGAGAGACGCTTCGATGACAAAGGTGGAGGTGAAGAAGTAGTTGCAGTACTTCAGGGCGGTCTCAAGAGACTGAAAGCAGAAAAGTTCAAAGAGAAAAAAATGGACGTTTGAAAGCAAAAACGGCATCAGGAATGCAAACTATAATTTGTTTTCTATCTGGACTTGTTTGTTTCATTTGATTCTGCTGATCATTTATTTATCACTTTAATTTGAGAAGTCAGAAGAACATAATCTCAACTGGTTATGAGGATTGTTGATCAGAGAGTGTGTTTTGACAGAGGGAGCAAATGATCTCGCCAACAAGTCACTCTTAACAGAGGCGAGTTTAATTGAGACAGACAAGTAAATTATATGCAACTCTGGAGAGGAAATATGCAGCATTTGTTTTTTGTTTGTCTTGAGCTACTGCTCTGCAATTAATGAGGTATTGATGATTAAATCTTATTTGCATGTAGACGGAGAGGAGAAGCACACGCTAAAGAAGCTTCAGTAATTTCTATCGTATCCTACAAACTATTTCAGCTCATGAGATATAATAAAGGAGTAGTGAACTCCTTGCTAGTCATCATGTAAACTAATAGAAACACCATACAGTGAACCGCTGCCTCTTTGTAGTTCAGCATTTGTGAATTCACATACATGTTTATTTTCCTGTGGAGCTTTCTAGCATATTGACTGATTTACATACTGGTAATAAATCAGTTACTAGCCAAAACAGCTTGGGAACTTAAAAATACAAATGTGCATCACTAATAAGGACAGATATAAAGATAATCTTGAATGTTAGCTTCCGTGGTAATAAACACGGTAATATCCACTGTCCATGTTTATCAATGAATATTAAAATCTATACATTCGCTTCAAGTATTCACAGGGGATTTTGGGCTCTAACCTCCATGAATGCTCCAGGTTTACTGCTATCCTTCTGTAATAATCACTATGTTCCATCAGTTTGGCAGAAATATGATTTTTTTTGTTTGTTTTAAGAATAAAAGTAATTTCATGATTCTATGTAGGACTGTGATATTTTGATGTTTTTGTTCAAGATTACTATCAGTATTGCCCTGATCCAATATTAGATATTGGTTGGATATTATCAAAAGAGAAAAAAAAGAGTATCGGACTATATTAGCCCCTGTCTAAAATCTCCGACATAAGAACGCCAACAGAAGCAGTCCTCTCCAGCGTTTAGTCTGCCCCAGCATTTCTGTTCAGCAGCAGTTGGAACCTGCATGCAAACCAATTGGATAATAATACATGGGTCGGTTGTTCTCATACCTATTGCTATTGACTATTGTTCTCTGAGTAATATCACATATCAGATATCTTCTAACATTCCCCATAAGTAATCAAAGTCTGTATTATTTGTGCTGGTATCATATTGGGTCAGTATCGGTATCGGCCAATACTCAAAGCTGCAATATTGGTATCGTATCGGATGTGAAAAAGTTCTAATAACTGAACAGTAAATATCTTATACGGATTTACGAGTAGTCTTCTTATATCACAATTGTTTGTTATGAAAGAGCAGAAAACTATTGAGATAACAAAAAATAATCAAAAACAAAAAGCAGGCAGAAATCAACAGCGGGCGTTGGCAAGGGACCCAACAGACGTTGTGACGCCCTCAATGAGTCCACAAAATCCCTCTGAATCAAGATGTGTGTTCACCTGTGGCTGGCTGTAGTGCTCCAGGGACATGGTGATGACGTTAATGCAGATAATAAAGGTGATCACGAGGTCCAGGTAGTGGCTAGTACACAGAGCATGGATGGCCAGCCGGGTACGGCCGTAGGAAGAATAATAAGGCAGTTTCTGGGCTTCTGCACGACAAAATGGCAAAAATCAGATTAAGGATTTAAAAAAATAAATAGAATGAAAAGATCGAAACAGGACGTGGTTTTGAGACATTTAAAAAACACAAATAAAACAAAAGTACACCAATTCTTTTGGTGTTCCTACTGGCCATCAGACTGCTCAACAATCCCATCACTAAAACTGTCTTGAAAATATTAAGCTCTCTCTCTCTCTCTCTCTCTCTCTCTCTCTCTCTCTCTCTCTCTCTCTCTCTCTCTATATATATATATATATATATATATATATATATATATATATATATATATATATATATTAACACAATACTATTTGTTTATTATGTAATTATAGGCACACTTGTGTTTCTGTGTGTGCTACGGTGAACAAGCCATGATATTTCACTGCCAATTTTTTGTTTCTTTGAGCAATGACAGTAAAGTAAGTAAGTCTAATTATACAATGTCAAGGAGGTTGACTAGTAAAAACACATGTGAAAATCTCTCCCCTGCCCAAAAACCAAAGGAGAAACTGTGTGTGTTTTTAAAAACAAGGCAAATTGAAAAAGTTAATATCAAATTTGTTTGTATAGTGCATTTAAGACAATCTACACCAATGATTAAAATAACAAAGTCAGAGATATTAAACAACAAATAGAAAACAAAGAGAATCAGAAAACACAAGAAATAAAAACAAGGTTTAACAACTAAGTAAAAATGAGGAGCAGAGAAAATTATGCAAAGAAAGAGACATAAAATATAAGAGCTCATATTAATGGAAGAAGCTTCATAACAGTGAGCCAAAGGTTAAGTAGTTTTAAATGAGTTCAAATAAAGACTTGTTCTCATTAATGTTACAGAAATTAGCATGTGTTATCTATGTTTCTTAAAAATAGGAGCTTATTTTAAAGTTTTCAGCTCAATATAACGGCATGTTACATAACTTTCTTCTTAGACCACATTCTGTTCTCAAACGATTCAAGAGTCTTCTGTTTTATCAATTCTGTTTTATCAATTCCAGTGATCTTCACCTTCCCCGATTCATAAACTCATCACTTCTTGAAATGTCACCTAATTTACTTCCTCTACTGGTCAATCCACAACGTTCTCTTTCTTACTTCTCCTCTTCTTTTCCATGCGACGCTGGCGCTTTTCCTCCCTGCGCCTCGCCTCCTCCACTTCCTGGTGCTGCCGACACTTGTGGAAGTTCTCCACCACCACGCCCACGAACATATTGAGGACAAAGAAGCTGACAATCAGGAGGAACGAGATGAAGTAGAGCAGCATCCACGGATTGTTGTTGGTCAACGGCTGGAGAGAAACAGATGAAATGATAAATGACTGGGAGGGAAAAAAAGTGATTCTTTTGGAATAAGAAACCACAAGCATGGACAAATTGGAATTTAAAAAACAAAACAAAAAGTGAAACAGATGCAGTGTTGCTGAAGTGTAACTGAAAATAAAATAACCTGTAATAAATGAAAATTACTGAATTGTAAAATAAGAAAATGAGCTTTTCAGTTAATTGAAAAATGACAAGATAACAGTTCCACACCACTGGTGCAAAAAAAGTGAAAAAAACAAAAAACAAAAAAGAACAGAGGATCATCTGCGTATAGATGTGAATATCAAAACCACATAAATACTGGAAATACACAAAATCTTTCCAAGTATTTTTCCTTATTTATTCATTTATTTTTAATTAACATTAAGGAATTACTGACTTAAAACAAGCTTCTGTATGCAGCTAAAAAGTAACTGGTAAGCTAGTTTTGTCCTACTTCAAGTGTATGAAGATATTTCCACAAGAAACGAAATCCAAACTACTTGGTAAGATTTGGTGTTTTTGCAAAGTAACAGGTATTCATATTTAGGCATCATTTGGACAAGTTAGGAATTCGAATTTGAAAAACTAAATGCATAGAAAGGAAACAAAACAATCCTCAGTAGAGATTTTATCAGATCCGAACCCAAAGCTGTGCTCCAGTGAGAGACCTTAAAAAGTTTCCTTAAACTATTTGCACTTGTTAATATTTAGGAGTCTTGGGCTAAATCTAGAAGAAACAAGCTCTGCCTGTGCTTAATTACAGCCTTCTGGTTCTCCACAGGTCAGCATGTTTGTGACTCAGAGTTTCCATAGGCGACTCCTGACAGATAAAATAAGCTCTTGTTCGTATAAGTCGGCGAGGTTACCAAGCCTCGACCACATAAACGACCACTCCACTGGTCGTCAAGCCTCTAAACCCAAAAGAGAGACAAAAATCGAGGCAGAGGATAGAAGCAAGGAGACAATGTAGGAAGGAGGAAGAAAAAAAAAACTGGAGTGATTTAGAGAAGAGGAGATAATCATCAGGAAACAAAAAAAAAATCTATTTCAGGTGCAATAAAGTCAGAGACGAGAGAGACACGTTTTCAATCTAAGTGCTGAAAGCTCAGCATGGAGTGTAAATGAAATTAGTCAGGCTGTGCAAAGTTGGAGAGCGGTGAGGTATTCCCTGACGTGCAGACTGACTCATCCAGCATGATGCCAGCTCTTACTGATGGAGTCATTTTTTAAGACGCGGCCACCAGAGATGATTCATTTGCACTATATCCTCTAGCTTTATGGTCACTCCTGTGGAAAACACTGCACTGTAAACACTTCTAACCCAAAGCTGAGGTGGAAAGGACAACAGCTCTGATGCCACGGTTTCTAAAGAGAGCTCCGGCAGCGAGAGAAGAGTCAGACTGCAGAGGCCACCTTGGGCAGTGTTTGCACAGAGGAAGTTTCCCGGAGAAGAGAATGCTTTCTTTTACTTTCTTTTTCACTTTTTAAAGAGGCGATACAAGGTAAAAAATGTACTTCTTTCAGATTCACAGCATGTTATAATGTTATTCTCACTAAAAAACATACCTGGAGTGTTGATTTGATTCTTTCATGCATGTTTGAGAAATTATTCAATCTCCCATGGCAAACATTCAGCTACGCAAAACACCTGGATGGACATAGTCCCGCCTTTAAGGACGAAGCTCCTCTTCAGAGCTGCAGCTTCCCAGATTCAGAGCTTCCACCTCACAGAGGAACCCTTCTGCACTCGGCTCCTTCAGACTAGCCAACAGCAATTAGAAACACCTGGTGGAACTGCGGATCTGCTGAGCTCATTATAGGAGCTTCTTCTCTGCTAAAAACATTGTTAAAAGATTAATAGAGGAGCCATGTTGTGATTGTTTCAGAAAGAAACACCTACTCTTTAAAGAGATGGAGGTCCAATTTCAAGATATTAAATTACAACGTAAAACTTCTTATAAGTCATATTTGATATTTACAGCATTCTGAAGGTCACAAACTTATTTAATTATGCAATAAATTGGGACAATGTGCCTGGGAAACCAAAATACTGCCCCTTTAAGTGTCGTCTGTTTTCTATCTATCTATCTATCTATCTATCTATCTATCTATCTATCTATCTATCTATCTATCTATCTATCTATCTATCTATCTATCTATCTATCTATCTATCTATCTATCTATCTATCTATCTATCTATCTATCTATCTATCTATCTATCTATCTATCTATCTATCTATCTATCTATCTATCTATCTATCTATCTATCTATCTATCTATATCTATCTATCTATCTATCTATCTATCTATCTATCTATCTATCTATCTATCTATCTATCTATCTATCTATCTATCTATCTATCTATCTATCTATCTATCTATCTATCTATCTATCTATCTATCTATCTATCTATCTATCTATCTATCTATCTATCTATCTATCTATCTATCTATCTATCTATCTATCTATCTATCTATCTATCTATCTATCTATCTATCTATCTATCTATCTATCTATCTATCTATCTATCTATCTATCTATCTATCTATCTATCTATCTATCTATCTATCTATCTATCTATCTATCTATCTATCTATCTATCTATCTATCTATCTATCTATCTATCTATCTATCTATCTATCTATCTATCTATCTATCTATCTATCTATCTATCTATCTATCTATCTATCTATCTATCTATCTATCTATCTATCTATCTATCTATCTATCTATCTATCTATCTATCTATCTATCTATCTATCTATCTATCTATCTATCTATCTATCTATCTATCTATCTATCTATCTATCTATCTATCTATCTATCTATCTATCTATCTATCTATATATATATATATATATATATGTCATTGGATCTGTCTAACCACGTTCTACAAATGTTCCTGCTGCATGTCTACCTGCAATAATTAGCTACAGCAGCATTGTTATTTTGCCAAAGCCGAATAACAGAGAGGACATTTTGTTTGAAGACGTCGTCTCAGTATTTTAACTTTCCCTCCGCCCACTGGACGTGCTCTATCAAGGCCCCATTTATGCTCCGTTTATGCATGTAAATAGGGCTTTTGTCAAGCGTCACTCCCCTGGACCTTAAAAGCCGTTTATTAAGTTGCCATGGTTGATGGGCAACTGAGTCACTAGAGGGCGTTTTTCAATTAGCTTCCAAATTTAGAGGAGCGTCTCAGACAGCGACAAACATGGCGACGGCGGAGGGGATCTTGATAGTGTGGTCTCAGAGAAATGAAAACAGGCACTGCAGTAGTTCACTAAATGCCTTGCAGAATGTGAACTGAGAAGTTCTGACAGGTCCAGAATCTTAAGTCTTTTTTTTCTTTCTTTTTGCTGATCTTGCATGAGCTACGCTATCCAACACTGCCTCAAAGGGGAGTGGTGGGATTGTTCAGTTGATGATGGACTAAAATACACATGAATCACTTCAGGTCAATTCAGGTTACAAGAAGACTGACATTCGACAGCAAGGACCTCAGTCAGTTTTTCACAGAAGAAGATTAGAGCCACTGAAGAAAAAAAAAGACAGTTCTGACTTTAATCTCAGAATTCTGACTTTATAATTTATGGGCACCGGGGGGAGGAACCATCTTTCAATGATCAACATGCTAGTTGTGCAGAAGAGCAACAAAATATCTGGAGGAACATGGTGGATTTAAGTCAGCTTTTCGTGTTTGAAGGGTATTCCAAGATGCCATTTCATGAATTAAACAACAAAAGTTGAGTAAAACAAGATGGATAGTTTAATGTCTAAAGTGTAGCGGCTACAGCTAGCTGTTAGCATGGTTTTAGCTTTCATCGACGGAGGAATTAACGTGTCTCGCAATGTTACATCACGCGTTAATTAAGGGTGTAAACAGTTGTTGTTTGCAGTAATTATCCCTGAAGGGGTTGTTTTGTTTTATTTTATTTTTTGTTTATTTGAATGCTATAAGGAAATGAAGCAGAGTCTATAATACATATATAGTGACCAATATGATTGGCGTGTCAATAACATTTATTTTAGCGAAAGAGAGAAAGGTTACTCGGTTGTTCTGATCACTGTTTCACTAACACCAACTGATGTGCATTACTATGTTAGTGGCACATATTGACAAAAAAAAAAAAAAGGAAACTGTTCCATAATCACAAAATCATTTTCCTGCACTGTATGATATGTGATCATCACAAGACTGAAGTTTCGTCATATGCCATTTGCAAATAGTACAGTTATCGTCCAGGTGCGCAAATGTTACAGGCTGCAGTTGTAATTCACTAAATCAAAGTGAAGAAGAAGAAGTGTGGCAAAAAACTGGGTCAAATTCTTTTAGTGTTGGATTTTTCTCCCTCCCCAAAACAATGTATAAAATGTCAGATTGGATTAGGAAAATCAGTGCAACATCACCTGAATTCATTTCAGGCTTTTTTTTTTTTGACATCCTTTATGTTCTTTCGTTCATGTTCATGTAGCACTTTTGCAATTTGTAATTATGCTTTCAATTTGCTGAAATGGTTTGCACCTCAGGGCCACCGTAGTGTTGCTCTACGACACACTGGCTACCTGTCCAAGGTGAACCCCGCCTCTCGCCCGGAATGCTAGCTGGACATAGGCACCAGCACCCCTCCTGACCCCAGTAGGGACAAGGATATTGGACAATGGAAGGATGTATTTAATAAATGTAAAAGGCTTGCATATTATATTTATTTATTTGTCATATCGGCTCAGAAAAATGGGGAAATGATTAGGAGTGCATCGTTATTTGATGGTTTTCCCCTCAGCTTTGTTGATTTTTTTTTCCCACAAAGGCAAACATAAAATAATTTCACAAAGAAAGATGTTGTCTGTAGTATCGACAACATAAAGCTGAGTCAAATAGACTGTAGATGACTGGAACTCGTCCTCCTCCAGCTCAGTTCCAAAGACCATCTGAAAAAGTTTTTTCGGGTGAAAGTTGGATTTTTAAAAAATTCAGATCAACTGGAGCTGTTTGAAGTTTGGTAGTAGTTTTTATAACGATGCCTCCAAGTGTGCCTCGCTGTTGTAGCACATTAGGGAATATTAGGGAGCTCCAACTGGCTGAAGAATCACAGGACCAGAAAGATTGCATTCACACCGTCCAACTAAAAAGACAATATGTCACAGTTTGACAAAAGGTAATCGATTCACACTGAAATCTGGTGACACACTCCGAGTAAACCCAATGGACTGCAACACAGAGGAGTTAGGAACGGTTAGACTGAGCGTGAAAAATGGGTCAGTGATCGCCACATGCATTTACCTGCTGGTCGATCCCCACTGCGTCCAGTCCATGGTACATGATGTTAACCCAGCCGTCTTTTGATGCTAGAACAAACAGCGACATAAGAGCCTATAGGAACACAGGCAAAACACACATATTACTTATTTGTTTTTTTTTTTTTTTACTTTGGCGTTCCCTCCCAAAATACTTTCCGAATTAACTCCCAGGTTTTGAGAACGACCTTCTGTGGACAGGCCTACGTTTGCAAGTTCAAAAATAACACAGAGGTGACGAAAGGGAATATCTTCATTTTGGTAATGTTTTTGTCCTGTACCTGTCCAAGGTTGTCAAAGTTGTACTTGTGGTGAACCCATCGGTAACCGGCTCTGATGCAGTCCGTTTTATTCGTGATGTTCTTCACGTCTGAACCCACGCAGTAGTAAAACTTGCCTTTGAAGAGCTTTTGAGGCAAAAAACGCAGAGAGGGAGAGATGAGTGAACGAAGTGAACAAAGACACATTCTGACAACGGCATGATAACACTAGTAAGCACAGTCAGACGTCGCCTTTTACACAGCTTTTGAAGTAATCTCACATTTAGCATCTGAAATAAAGCTTCAAAATGCAACTTGATGGCAACGGTCAGGTGGTCTTCTGTGTCGTTCCTATCAAACACGTCATAGATGGAAAGTGTGGAAAGCAATGTATGCAGGTGGGGAACATTGAAATTAATAATAGCTGAGCTTTGGGGGAGAACGAGACATGTAGGGATGGGAGCCAATAGCAACTTGTGACTTAGGACTGCAGGTTCTCATTCAATCAAGTTTCCTCCATTAGTTCAGATGATTTGTCTTTGTCTAGAGATGCTGTTAGTTGACACAACCAAAAAACAGAATTATAATCCTCGACTCCAATTTTCTAAACTTTGGAAGCTCGACCATCAGCCAACACTTAAATCAGAAACTATTCTTATCCATCGGTCAACAATTATCACCCGACTGTTGCCAACTTAATGGGCAGGTCAGGCTTTTCGAAGACCGGTGATCAGCCAGAAGAGTGCAATCGGTGCACCCCTTGTAAATTTTATTTGGCGAAAGGGAAGGTACTTTTCTGAAGATGCTTTCATGTACCTGAACTCCGAGAATGCCAAAGATGATGAAAAAGGCACAGCAGATGAGGACAATGTTTCCAATGGGTTTGAGGGAAGTAATTAGCGTCTCCACCACCAGCTTCAGCCCTGGAGCCCTGCTGATAACCCTGTGACCCACGTGAAGGCAGGCAGAGAGAAAACTAGTGAGAAAAAGACTCACATATAGAGAGAAGGACAGAGGGCAAGAAAGCTGACTTTCAATGTAAAACTGTTAAATAGGAACTGAGTTTGCCATGTCATTATCATCAAAGTAGCAATGAAAAAGCTTGTGTCTTCACTGTATTATACGAAGAACAGATGTATATTAAATTGGTCATAGATGGATTGACTTAGCTCTTTTTAATTGGTGTTTATGACAAAATAAACACCCGATACACTTGGCAGCTTTCCTTGTAAAGATTTTTTTTAAAAAAGAAAAGCTGCAGTGACATTTTATAGGTAGAAAAATTCTACATTTCATCTGAAAGTATTTCTCTAGTGGTAAAAAAAACAACTATCTGCTATGATATATTTTGTTTTTGGGCATTGAAAGCATTGACTGCAAACTGAAGTCACAAAAGCATTTAAGGTACACAACTTGAGGTTGATTAAAGTGTCTTAAAACCTTCCAATAGGAACCCAGGACTTCTTGTTTCTATGGAGTATAAATGTAGCATGACAAAAAGCAGCTTTTTGCTTCAAAATTAAAAGAAAATACATAAGGTATGTTTATAAGACGGTATGTTTAATCGTCAGCAAATAGCTCCAGGAAAATGGATGTTAGTCTGAAGAGTTGGAGCAATAATAAAAAAAAAAAGAAAACTGGGGAACAAGCCTGAATGACGTACCAAGTTTATTTTTCCACCATGGACGATGAGAAGGACAGTAAGATAAGCTCCAGATTCATTATTAGAGAGGTCAAAACAAAGAGTGGGATCTTGAGAGTCACTAAGTCTCCAAGACTTAGGTTATTTTACTCTTAGAGCAATATTTCTATTTCATTAGTCTGTTTGATAGATCATCAGTTGTAGCTCATGAATTGAAACCGGTGCTGAGATGGCATTTTTTTTTTTATTTACATGATTGTACACATAATAAGAGTGTGACAGACCGAGAAAGACGATAATAAAAAATAAAAAAAACTTGCACCTCAAAGGAGACTTTGAGCTCAGTAACAAAGAGGTAGTGAAGGGGAGGAGAAAGCAGTTAACTCACTGACTTTTGCCCGCTCCGAGTCAGACCGCGCTCTCTGTGTTGGACCTGTGATGGACTGTCCAGATTGAACCCTGACTCTTGTCTAGTGTCAGCCCGTCAGTCTCCAGGCCCTCCATGACCCCGAAGAGGATTAACCGAGTAAAGATAATAGATGGACGGACAGATAGCGCCATGTCTGGCAGACGGGTCGGGTGGCAGACTATTTTTTGCTTGGCTGGGAACGGTAGTTGGAGGTGGTGGTGGGTGAGGGGGTGGTGAGGTCCCAGCATGTTGCCTGGCAACTACTCAGAGATGAGTTGCTTTTTTCTTTACAATGCATTTTTTCTAGGTAAGACTTTCGACAGACTTTGTGGTATTTAGGCAATAACAAGTTTATACTGGACAGCAAAAACACCAAATGTCAGTATTTTTAGTCTTTTTTTTTCTAGTGCAAATACCTTCTTACACTTGAAATAAGGCAAAACTATAGCTATCGGAGATTGTTTTAAGTAAATAATTTCTTATTAATGATGAAAAAGTACTAGTTCCATTGACAGATAAACTCACTTACAACAAGACATTTTCCTGATGTTACAGGAGAAATAAACTGCCAGGGGAAATAATACATTTCCATCGATATCAGTGCAATAAAAAGAAAGGAAGAAAGAAAGACAGGACCTGATGATGGTGATGGGCTAAATTCTGTCCATTTGTCACTAACCTGAGAGGCCGTAACGTCCTGAGCAACCGGAGAACACGCAGGACTCCCAGGATCTTAGCGCCTCCTGCCATTGACACGACAATATCAATCAGAGACACAAAGACCAGGAAACCGTCCAGGATGTTCCAGCTGCTCCTCAGATATGCCTTCTCTCCCAGGTACAGGCCCATGGACACAACCTGGGAGAAAAACGAATGGAGACATGACCCACATAAGTAGACGACTCATCAGACACACGTGACCTTTGGTGTTTAATGTGTTGTAAAAATGTATGAGCTAATCTACAGACTTATTCTGTTTTTGGTTTTGGCACAGTTCAATGTCACACAAAGATAACTAAAGCAAATGCATAAAGATGTTCTAAAAGATGTTCTAAAAATACCACCTGAAGTGTTTTTACAACAACTAAAGTAGTATTTCTGGCTAATAATTTGTGTTGGCCAGAAACTGTTGGCTAACAAGGTAAAATTAAATTGTTCTTAAAAATATTAACTAACTTTAATGAACTGAAGAAAAAAAGTTATTTATACCAACTCGGGCCTGTGAGAAAATGTCATTTAGTTTGTGAAATCTTAAATTAACTGTAATCTACTTTATTTTATTTTATTGTAAAACTCAGTTAAATTTAAGTCATTTTTTTTCTGCTGGACTAAAAAAAGGCAGTCCACTATTCAGATTTTGTTTACAAAATCTTCTTAAACGAGCAACATTATGTGTTTTCCTATCACAGTGTCATTTTATAGCACAGTCAAGTAACTATGATAACCTTCAGTTGTTAAAAAAATGCTGTTCATATCAAATATGACTTAAAAGATATCTGATTTCATAATTAATGCCTTGAAATTGGGCCTCTGTCTCTTTAAGAAAGTCTTACACTTTCTGAAACTACGCTTTCAGGAAGTCATCAAAACAAGACTCCTCGATTGACCCTTTAACAACAATTTTATAAGTGTTTCAATGAGCAGTAGCTCCTGCAATTAGGACAGTAGGTGAAGTTCCATTGACAGGTGTTTGCTAATCGCTGCTAGCTAGTCTGAAGGAGCTGAGACGGGAAGTCGTGAAGCACGATTGCAGCAATGTGCTATGGCCTACTATAATAACATTGTAGCATGAAGTAAGACTCAAAAATGATGTTTTTACATAATATAGCCCCTTCAATCAAACTCCTCGCTACGCATAGGCATAAATAACAAAGATGTGGCTGAATGCTGCATATTATCTCATTGCTCTGATTTAATATAACAAACTCTTCCTCCAGCAGGGACTGAAAGAAAAAAAAAACATTGCAGTTCAAATTCTTCATAGAAAAACAGAAAGACGCTATGCTGAGGAAAGTGTGAGACAGCTATCAGTCAGTGAATCGAAAGGCAGAAGTCAGGTATGGTAAACAAAGGTATATGGAATAAAAGTCAAAGATAGAGTGAAAGGAATGGCAGATCCAAGACCAAAAATAGAAGATGTCATCAGAAACATGTGAAATGCAACTTTTTCTGGGGTGTTTTTGTTACATTTTTATGTCCCAACAAAATCTCAGTGGAATAGAATGACAAAGAGCAGCAACAATTGTAAATCTTTTATAAAAACTAAATAATATTAATGTGTTAACATAACTATATGTATCAAAAGCCTTGAAAGAGAAGCTTCCTTGTCAAATAATTATCAGGCAGAAATTAAGAAACAAACCAAAAAGCTGCATGTCTCAGAATGGATCCATCCAGATAATAGAACATAGGGTCCAACAAGACAGGTCTTGTGAAGAATCCTCTAAAGTAATATAAAAATGTCTTCCAAAAAAAAATCTTAATCTTTCCACACTGATCCAAACTGTAGTGCGTCCAAGCCACATCCCATAAATCAGATTTTTACTCATGTTTTGACAGCATACATATGGAGTTTTGTTATTAATAGCAGCCTGGCTATACTGAGATTCCACTGCTACTATTGGAAGGCCTCTGGATATAAATAAAGCAGATTAAAAATCATCCTGGTAACATGATTCATTGGACATCTGGCACTTCAATGCCAACAGTGACAAAGGTTACCTCACGCTTTTCTTACTCTGTCAGCGGTGTGACATGCAGAGTGTGTCACAATAAATTCACTTTTAAATTGCAGTCAAACTCCATTGATAATCTGATATTTCAGTCATCCTTGCTGTTGTTGGACTTGCTCTTTAAGTGTTTTTTCAATTTAAAATGTAACTATTTGTGTCTGCGATGCTAAATGGTGACTTCAAGATTTTACTGGACTGATGAGAATGGCGTATAATTTTACAGATTGCCTATTGACATTTCAGAGGTGGTTTGAATATAAAGCAAACCCTAAATTGTAAGTACTGTCAACACACACACACACACACACACACACACACACACACACACCCCCACACACACACACACACACACACACACACACACACACACACACACACACACACACACACACACACACACACACACGCGCGCGCACACGCATACACACACACACACACACGCACGCACACGCACACACACACACCCTTGATAGAGCCAGAGCCCCCCAACACCGCCATCATCATCCGCCACCCTACAAGGTCAATCAGCTTTTGACAATGGATGGATGGATTGCTCAAGTTGGAACTGGAGATTTTCTCACTATTATGATTAATTTATTCATTTGAACCTGGCTGAACTGAATTTAAAACCAGTACTTGTTAAGAGTGAACTGGAATGACATTAAAACAAAGTTTCCGAAGAGCTCTTTGGGAAATGGCAATCTTCTGCACTGTTTTAGAGTTGTAGTCTGCAGTGGTTTTGGCAAAGAGCAGAGGAAGTGAACAAAGCCATTCAGTCCGTGTTGACCACGCCTCCAAATGCTGAATAACCATTAACAGCCATCTTGTTCGGCTCGGGGTTTTCTCTCTTCGCATTAGAAGACGGTTATTTACAGCACAAGTAGCTTCCGGTAAGCTTCATAGCATCAGTCTGGTGCATTGCATAAGTCACAGCCAAATGTCACTTATGCACAGAGAATACAGTCACCAAAATAATTATTTCTCTATCCTGGTTTAACTATTTTTTTTGCTTAGACCAAGCCACTAAGTGAGCAGCTATTGACTTTAACTCTACATACTCAGATTTTCTTTCACTACTGTTTTCTCAAACTTCCAATCAGGTGTCATACTAAACCTCGTTGTGCTGGAGGGTTTTAATGTGACATGGAAGTAATTTCTTTGCACCGTCACCATCTGCTTGGCCCACGGCAGGTATTGCGGGGAAATCAATAATTTAATGCTACCAGTTGGGCTTTTTTTTACATAAAGCAATTATCAAAGTAAATAAAATGTGTCTGTCTTGTATTCAAGCTTTTCATTATGTGTCATTGTGATTTTCATTTTTGGGGCATTTTTGTACAATCCATTGAATTGGATCAGTTTTCTTTAAGACAAAACTAAACTGAATTAAACTGAATCTGAAGAAGGTTACAAGTTGGCAGAGCAATGTATATGTATGATGCAAGAAAAGTAGTAGAAAGAGACTCAAAACCAGATCTGAGAGTGCAAATGAAGCAGCAAATTGAAAGATAATAATGGGGCAACTTTGATTAAATTACAAATTGGGAAAACAAAAGTGGGGAAGTTATAAGAAAGGGATACAAGACTGCAACCACCTCCATCCAGCAGTACCAGTGAACTATACACTGTCACAATCCAGGTAACAAGCTGATACACATGCCTTCATTATCCATAATCATTAAAAAAAACATTGGATGATTTCTACTGGTGCAGAAAAGGCCTGAAGACTCAAAGATCTTAATATAGGATGGTTTAATGATTTCTACAAGGCAAAAAGGATAAAGCAGAAATAATGTGTATTTTTGATGGGAGGTTCAGGAGTGACTGAAGGACCGCTGAAGAATGATAGTCTTCTAATTGAAATCATTATCTAGTTGCCCATCAGTAGTCATACAAGTGCAACTGATTAAAACACCAAGGTGGAGAGTTATCAGCAAAACCGACAGGAGGAGCTAAATAAGAAGCCAGAGGACAAACAGTTAGGGATCCGCCTATCCTAAGTGGCTAGATAGATGGAAGAAAAAAAAAGTGTTGGCAATCAGATGATGCAGTAAAAGAATGCCCAGAACATCCAAGATCCAGCGCAAAATTAAAAAGGTAACACTAGTTGAGGTTCCAATGTGCAGGAGTATTTTTCTACATTCAGCCAATGTGAAAAAAAACACAATTTTGAAATTGCGGTGTTTTGATGAAATTAAAATCACGTGTGAATAAGTTTGTTCATGCGATAAGTGAATAAAGGTCATGGCGGCAAGAGATGAAAACAGTAACGAGATGTAGTCATAAGTCAGCCGTGGCGCTCATTATCTATCAGCCAATTAGAGAGGATGTTGACATCTTTTTCAGGCGCTGGCACAAGCCCCTTATAGTGGGGAGCAGCTACATATATGGCGTTTTGGAAAAATTGTAGTCAGCCACTTTGGAGAAAAGTTGTAGATTCAACATTTTTGAATGACACAATTTTTGTGAACTGTGAGAGTTCTGGTGGGGCAGGTGCAGATTGTCTGGAAAAAAAACTAAAACAAAAAAATGATAATTCTTCTTCCTGTTGTTTTCTTCTTTGCTGTTTTTGCCAGCAGTAACAGTGGTTGTTGATCATGTTATTCGTGTGATGCAAAAAAAAGTTTCAATTGCAGTTTCGCAAAACAAGCCACAAAAACCTTTAATTGGAAAACGTAAGGTTTCTTTTTCTTCAAAATTCTGTTTCCATTAAGCAAATGTATTTTCATAATTTAAATTCGAGCATTTCTATATTCAATAGAAATGCAACTATTGTTATTGAAGACAAAAGGAAATGTCTAATGAATCTAAGATAAGTTAAGAAAGAAGTGACTAAAACGACAGCAAAACAAGCAGAACTACAGCAAAAACAAAGCAAGACAAAAAGAGTTGGAAGCATTTTACCTTGACTGTCATCTCTGCGACAAAGATGGCCGTAAAGATGTAGTTTGAAAGGGTGAGTAACAGTCTTTCCTACAGTGCAAATAGACAATAGAAATAGTTTGAAGGATATAAAAAAAAAATTCAAAATAATTTTTAATCTAATTGTTTGATACAGCTTAGTAATTGTTTGACCCACCGAGAAGGTTCAAAGCAAAAAATATTCGATCCACACTGTGAATGTTAACCCTGTGCTGTGCTCTGAAGCCTCACTGACAGGAGTTGTCAGAAAACAGCGATTTGGATCTTAAACTTGCCAGAAGTGTTCAGAGTCAATTTAATTGCATCACTTGCTTGAAAGAACTGCTTAGCTTCAAATCAAAATACACCCAGATGTCAGAACATCATGAACTGTAGAAAATGTAGGATTGTAGAGGAACTCTCTTAAAGAGCATTCATGAATTAGATTATTGTCAATTAAACTGGATTATGTCAGGATCAGGAGCAAAAACACGACTCCAGTTAAGGGCTGAAACCAGTGGTTATTAAAAAATACGATAATAAAAAAACAAATAGTCCATGCTTTGGATATATGTCGTGTTAAATGGTTGAAACAATAATTTTGTCTTTTCTAGAGTCAATTTATGCACAAGTCAATAGTTAGGTTGACTTTCCTTCTACACAAAAGCAATTCTAACTTTTACTATTGAAAATTTTGCTAAATTTGAACATCAAAATCACTTGTATTTTAAACACTTTAGAATAGAAGTAGCTATTTGTAGCTAGAAGCTCCTGTTGCTAACAGCTACTGTATCTCATAGCTTCTATTGTTGCTCATGTATCTAGTAGTTACTTGTATTTAAAAGCAGTTAAAATAGAAGTGATTTTAAAGTTCAATCAACATATCAAGAGTAATGCTGTTTTGTAGAATGCAAGTCTACCCAACTTTCCTTCTAAATTTGTGCACAGCTAGCAAATGCACAAACTAGCCTGCTATCTAAACTCAACGGCTAATTTGTGCCTTAACCGTGCTACTTTGTGAAGAGTGAGGAAATAGCTAGTTTTTGCTTAAAAAGTTAATTTTAACATGAGTGTATTTTGTCTTATTAGACTGGTATTAATTTAATCTGTTGTTCAGCTCTGAAAGAGTCAATAAAATGTGACACTGCATATTTAACACTGAAAAATTTACTGCGTCGAGAGAATAATAAGTATCAGTGACAATTATTGTTCTTACCAGGCTTCCTTGAAGTATCTTAGGCCTCTCCAGAGCCACTGTGATGCAGTTGAGGAAGATAAAGACCAGGACCACGTAATCAAAGAGCTTATGGGCAATGATGGACTGACAGAGAAGCCTGAATCTGAGAGGACAGAGATACAATAACAGTATATTAGTGCGTCACATAGATTTTGAAAATACTTTTCAAATTCCAACACATGGCTATGTTTTAGTCTAAGTTTTTCCAAAACATCTCATCATGATACATTGTATTATGTGTTCTGAATGTATTTTTCAGATGATGTGCTGTTGTTTAGTCTCTTGGTGTTGACGTTCTCGCCATTGCACGAAGGTTTTATTTTGAAAAGTAAGATTTCTTCTACTCTGTTTTTGCTTCTGTTAGTTTCCCCATCTTCCATTGTCTTTGGGTCATTCATGTTGAGTTGTGCTCCGTTTCCTGTGTGTGCGTAGTTTCTGTTCAAACTTTCATTCCATTACATCAGCGGTCTGTAACTCCAGTCCTGAATCACCTCCTTGGTATTGTCAGCAGTTTTTCGGAAAAGCCTGATTATCCCCTATTTATTTGATTTAGGCGTGTTGGAGCAGGGTTGCAAACAAAAGAAGCATAACGGTGGCACTCAGACATCTGGAGTTGCTGACCCCTGCATTGGACTTTTTGCTCTCAGATTTCTGACTCAGCTGCTTCTCCACCACTATTCAGTCTCTTGTCTGTGCCTCGTCACAACAATCATCTCTCCTGGTTTTCTTGGTCTTTTGTTGGCTTCATGTTCCGATTTCCACTTCTAGTTTTACTAAAAGTTAAGTCTATCATCAAATCTCTTCATTTTGGATCTGTTCTGCATCTTGCCTGCATTTTACATTGACAACACACGTCCAAATTGACTGCACTGGGTTTTTATAAGAAATATAGGAATGATGAAAGTTAAATACCAGCAAATCTTTTCAAATTATATTTGTAGAAAAACAAAAAAAAAAACTACTTCTTAATTGTGTAGTTTTGTTCTACTTTATCCATTTTATAGATCTTAACCTGTAATTATCTTAGTTATTTTTTTCTCTTTTTCTTCAGAATCCATAAACAGCTCAAGAGTATAGAAAATTACCAAGCATCTGTCCAATTACTGTACAAAGTATTGCTTTGGCAAGCTTCGCTTCATTTTATTCTGAGCAATTAATTTAATCTTTTGGGTAAAAAAATACATAAATAAAATAAAAGGCAAACGTTTTTGAAAGGAAGGGAAACTCTTAGGAGTATAAAAACAAAAAAACAATGCACTGCACTCATAGTTGTGCTTCTCTTTTTCTAGAAAATTACACGGTTCGTGCCCACAGTAAGTATAAGCTGAGAACTATATTAACTTTATGCACCACGAGAAATCCTTGAGTGGTGCTTTGTGGACATAAACGGCAAACGACTTGAGGAACCTCGCGATACCTGCTGCTGCTGCGCTTCGGCTGAGGAAATCGATGAGCTAATCTGGCTGCTTTTCCTGCAGACCAGAATACGCTATCTGTTTATTTATCGACTTGAATGAGGCTGCCCTGTCGCCAACGGCACTGATAATGACCATACAACCACCTGGGTGGCTCATTCCTCCGTTAGGATGGATTCACACCAGCCCTGTTCAGTCTGTTTAACCAAACTTTAGCAGGTTTGCCTGTGAAGTCTGGTTCACTTGGCGTGAACTCCTCTTCTTTTCTTATGACGGTTGAAAAGCAACATATTGATGTGCATTACCGCCACCTACTGGAGTGCAGTGTGGACTGGCATGCCCAAAAGAAACAAACAAACAAAACAAAACAAAAAATGAACAAACAAAAAAACCCCGAAGTGAACAAGTTTTGAATGGATCGGACCGGAGACCTCTCCAAACATAGGAAGTGTATTCTGGGTGAAAACAACCAAAGCAAATCTGTGAGTCAAATGCTAAAGGGAGAAATGGCTCGTGGTGTTTTGTCAAAAATAAAAAACAAATCCTACAACTGCCAAAATCAAATGCCACTCAATTTAGCTTTTTAAATTTTTCAAAGAAGGAAGTTGCGCAGAGGTTTTCATGTCGTTTTCTTCAGTGGTTTTTGAAGCAGCATCACCACAGGTGTGGAGGTGGAAAGGTTTTCCAAACAGTTTGGTTTGTTTGACAGTGCAGTGTGAAAGTGAATCACAGCAGCTGAAAATCTAAGCGAATGTCGCAGGGTTAGTCCCCAATCAACCGGACTATCCGATGTGAAATCACCACAAGTTTCTCTTCTTTCCCTGTTTTCAGCTCGACTTTTAACACAAACATACGCAAATGACTACATACACAAACCCAAGCATGCAAAGTGGAATGAGGCATCAACAAGGCAAAGACTTCATATGCTCACACACGCCCACACGCGCATATGCGGAGCCCCTCTGAACACACGTACCAAGAGGCAGCAAGATATTACCAGAGATGTAGCTGAACACGAGCGCGAAACAGAAAATGGATGCTTGACAGATGGCACCTGCCGGCGTGCCAACACACCGTCCTGGGGCCTGGCTTCCCTTAAGTGGCCATCAGCATGCTGGGAGTCGGGTGAGTGAGTGAGAGAGTGGAGGACAGTGATTTTTCTTTCTTGCATTGTTTTCTGCGGCCCCTGGAAAAGCAACAGCTCAGCCACCAAAGAAACCTGCTGTATTATTTTTTCTTAAGCCATTTGTGGAACCAGAGCGACATTTTCTCTTTTGGAACTGAAATTATTTGAAAATTGACTGCTTGCTCGTTCCTCAATATTCCATTAAGGCCTTAAACATTTCCAAACCTTTTTGTGCTTTTTGAAAGCGTCAGTAACTTATAAAACTTATATATGTCTTTACACATTTGTTGAAAATGTCACTATGTCGTCACAGTAAGTCATGAGACAGAAAATCTGTGAAAAATGAAGATCCTCTGTCTTCTTCCAGTGCCAACGAGAAACAACCAATTAGAGCCAAGAGGCGGGTCTTACTGCTGTTAATCACCTCTTTTGAATTCTCGGGCTAGCTAGCATAGCTGGCAAAAAAGGCATGGTAAAGGTTTTCCTGTAATGGTTTCTCCACTATACGCACATGTAGCAGCAAATACATGAGCTTAACTGAAAGCTAAGCTCAAATAGCTTAGCTTTCATAGGAAAGCTCTGATTGGTCATGACTGACCAATCAGAGCCCCCTGGCTCTGACTGGTTGTTTTTGGTCAGGAGCAGATTCTTCAGATGGCAACAGTAGCTCAGGCTGTTGCCATTATAACAAATAATTACGACATGGTGACAGTTTTAAGAAATATCTTTCAAAAAAAAAAAAAAACATTATTTATAAAAGCTTCACACTGCAGCTTTAAGGCTCTTTAAGTCTTACTGAGAAAACCACCTTTGCACTGAAGCACTTAACACAGAGAATTTGCCGAACCGTTTTGCCAAAGCTCTCCTCTACACAATGAAGACACATGTTCTCCTCTCTGACAAGTTACATCTGTGGCATTTACATCCCAAGCTCAAGCCACTGCCAATCCTGAACTGGCTTGAATAAAGGTCAGTGGATGTTGTTTTTTATTTTAATCACAGTTATTGGAGAAACGTCCCAATTGATTCGAATTTGGGACTGAAAAAACAATGTTATTTTAAAGTCTATTTTCTGAGGTGTAGTGACATTACAACTGGTGTGATGTTGTCTAACTTTCTGGTTTTAGTGAGAACACGAGCAGCAGCGTTCCGGATGTGAAAACACTGCTGCAGTAATCACTGCTACTAAAGATAAACTCATGGATGAGTTTCTTGAGATTTTGCTGAGACATTAGTCCTTTAGTCCTGGAAATGATTCTTCAGGTGAAAGAAGGCCGACTTTGCAATCGTCTTTAGGTAGCTCTGAAGGTTCAGGTCCATCACTCAGCTCAGATTTCAAACCTGATTACTAATTTATTGCTCTTTTAGCTGAAAATGTGTACTGATTCTAGATCAAACATAACTTCAGGTTTGTTGGGATGTTCTATTGGAGATCATGTTTAGAGTTATTCATGCAATTCTGAAGTGCATCACTAATAGTTGTTCTGCCGACAACTTCACCCACCAGTGCAGCAAGTTTGTCATAATTTATTTTCATTTCCCAAACCCCAAACACTGACGATTACATCTCCATTCTAGATTTGGCCTTTAATTAAGCCCTGCCTGTGAAGATTACTTTGTAGATTGATTTCCTGTGTTTATCTCTGGTCTGTCAATAAAAAGCTTTCCTCTCAACGCTTGTCTCACTTGGCATTTCTGTGTTTAAGCTTTGTTTAATAATAAATTAACATAACTGACTACAAAATGAAATATTTAATATTTGATATATATTCATATATGGATACGCATAACAGTGTATCAGGGACATCATAGATAGAAAAAAAGAAGTAAATTTCTCCCAAAATAAAACTCAGAATTTTTTTTGATTAATTAAAAATCATTTCTAGGAAAAAGAAAAAAAAACTTGGCAATTTTCTGAGCTTTTGAAGTCAAACATTTTTTACTTTGGAAAAAATTTCCAAAAGTTGAAAATTTATGACGTTTGAAAAATTTCAAAGGTTTTTTTTCTGAAAAATCTCTGATATTAATCTCAAAATTTCTACATTCCTTGCACATTTTCAACTATTATAGAAAGTTTCTGGGATTTTTTTTTTTCTGTAGTGGAAATTGTTCTTTTTTTTTGGTTTGCACCGGTCCTAATACTTTGGCATGCATACACTTTTACAAAAAGCCAAAATATTTTGTTTCATTCACTCCAATGATGTCTTAAACTTTATAGTTGATTTACATGTTGTGGATTTGTAAAATTGCTTTCTTTTTGATAACTTTTTGTGTTTAGACTTAACCAATAACATTTTAAAGAAATTATTTATTTTGCCCAAATTATCTTTGACTTTTATAAGTTAAAAGATTGTTTGTACTCACTTGTTTTGAGGAGAGAACATGTAGACAGACCAGTCCTCTCTAGTCTCACACCAGTCTGGCTTGTAAACCTCCATCATCTTCTGGATACGGAAGCACCAACTCTTTAATGAAAACAGAGACAGGAGTTAACAAGAATCTGGTTAAATAGTAGAAATAAACGGTGTGCAAAGTTTCAAGTTTCCTGAAAGCAAATAAAATAAAAACAACATTGTATTGTCTTATATACTGTTTAGTTATTTACACGTAGACAATGTACAACATTTCTTCAATCTTTTAAGATGAGAGATTATGGCGAGAAAATGTTAATTTCCACATCAACCTTTTTGGACAGGTTGATGTAATCAAATATGATTTAACAGATTAGTAAAATCTGTTAAATTACATATAGTAATTAATTACAGACATGTCATTATTCAGATCTCACTAAAACCCAAGCAAACCAAACAACAAACCAACAGGAAAAAAAAAATACATTTCTTTGCCTTCATCAATAACGAGAACAAATCTGCTTATTTAACAGCTATGTTATTGTCAAATGAGCAAACTTGAACAACTAGAAATGTAAAATTCACATTTAGGTGCCAATATAAAAAGGTATTGCACGGTTCAGAATGTAATGATGGAGCTTGTCCACTCACATAGTCTGTTTCTTCGTCTAGATCTGCTCTGTCCTTGCGTGCATTGACCTGAGGGAAGATATCGGTCATCAGATAGTTGTGGTGACCCGAAGCCTTGCCGTTGCAGTCACGGTGGTCCGCTCCCAGACCGCTGCCGGCTCCCGAGCCCCCGGTGAGTGAGCCTGCCGCCCCGGATCCACTCTTTCTCCCATGGTCGGGGATCTGAACGGGCGGCGGTGCCGGAGCTTGTCCGCCCATCCTAAGCAGTTCGGGGAGTTCAAGGGAAAGAGCCCGCCGATCCCGTCTTCCTCCGAAATGTCTGGAGAGGAACATCGGGGGCGGCAGGGGATGATGGGAGTGATGCGAGTGTAGAGAGTGCGATAGAAGGGACTCCTGCTCCGAAGCGTGGTGGTAGGAGTATGGGGAGCGGGTGCTGCGCACACGCAGGCTGCCGCCAACAGGAGGCGCCCCACAAAAACCGTAGGTCCTCCTACCAAGGCTGTTGGAGCTGGACCTGAAGAGCAGAAGATGAAAAGCAGAAATAAAAACCAACAAGAATTCATGGCCAAGTTATGAAATGTTAATGTAAAAGAAATTGACAATCTTCTGTGCATTTGCTGTAGTAGTGGTTAATGCAAAAATGACAGCAGAGATATAAATCACGAAATGGACAGTTCATGTTTCATATTAAGAATTTATTAGGCCAAAATGTTAAATAAACAGCTAAGAATTAACAACCTGCGACTCCATCCAGACTGTGGAGGAAAAGGTCGCCCCCAGTTGTGGTAGTTGGAACTGCGACCATGGCGCTGAAACATAAACACAAATAGTAAAAAGTACAGTTATCTAAATAGAGTGAAGGTTTTGCTAAGGAGGTCTGATGTAAATTGCAACATTGTACATAATTGAAAAAATTTGTCAATATAACTTGACTTTGATCAAGTCCATGAGTGTATATTGAATTACAGCGTTGACTTTAATTAAATAAGTTAATTGGACTTGACTTATTTTGCTGTGACTGTACTAAGCACTGGAATTGAATAAGTTAAGGGTTAGGGGTTAATTAAGCTTTTGGTGTCTTTTAAGTAATTACAATACATAATTGATTGATTTACTAAGTTAGCTTAATAGGTTAGCACAGTAAAACTGTCACAAGTTAATGTTAAGTTTAAACACTGCATTAACGGCGCCTGTTCTGTCCGCTACACACTGTTCAGTAAATGGCACGATGCGCTAACATCAACCATCATTTAATAAATAACATTTATTTTACGGATATTAGATATTATATGTCACCTAAATAAATAAAATCATAAATTAAAAACTGCTTTTTTAATTTACTTGTGTTATGTTTAAATAATTTCACCATTTGTTCGATGATCTGAAGCAAGAAAAAATGAAGCTGAAACAAAAAATAAGGACAAGGGCAAATACAAATACAAACACAAAGCTTAATGTTTAAAGTTCAGTACTTCAGCATAAAGTATCACATTTCATGTACATCTAATCAACATTTGATTGCACTTTCTGTAATCTTGAATAGTAAGTCAAGGTATTTCAACCTCTAATTTGCACTAGATTTCAGTTCCCTATCAAAAAAAACCACAACAAAACAATCATTTTGATTCAGGATCTATCAAACGCGGAAGCAACACGTTAAAAAGAGTGACACCGATCATATCACTGCGCTGCATTAAATCCAGTCCTATCAACACCCAAACTGATAAGTAGCACCACAACAACAAAGCAAAGCAGAGCAGAGCAAAGCACCACTAAACGGATCTGATTCACACACCCTGGAGTGTGTTACCATCAAAGTGCTGACTAAATGAGCGCTGACAAAACTTCAGCCGGAACAAGAAATAAAAGTTCTTCATGAAAACGTTTCTTGAATGCCTGTCATCCAATTGTTTTCAGCACCAGGTTCTACAAATGGTCCCTTGTTACAGAAAAAAAACTCAAAGGTTTCAAAGTGAGGAGAATCGCACACGCATTGGGTTTTAGCATCATAGCCTCCGAGGTACGAGCGCCGCCGCATTTCATTATCTCACCGATTACTTTGTTTTCACTTCTCTACATTTCCCTCCTGGAGTTGCTATCATATATTTATGTATGTGTACATATTTCATAAGGCTTCAGTTCAGTTTACAAAAGTAACAAAAAAAAAAAAAGAATGTATTTTGTGCATGTACGTTAAGCACTGGGTGCGTGCAGCTTACCCGAGGCAATTATGTGATCTTAATGAGACCGAAACCGTACCAGAGCTGTAATGAATAGAATATACATCAAAGCGCATCAAACTCGATTCACTCGATCACATCTAAAATCCCTCCCACACAGTCATAGATGGCAGTGTTAGAAAATTAATCACACAACAATGTGCACCTGTTATAAAATCAGGGATTTTTGTGTGCTGATATAGCAACAAATTCCTCCTCCAGTATTCCATGTTCGCAGCGGTGTCATAGCAACAGCAAACACGCCTCAGTGAAATTCTGACACGGAGTTGAAAAACAGCTAATGTGACATAAACTGCGTGTTCAGTCTGACTCTGTGGGGATGACAGGGCGATGGAGTACCAGAGAAAGGGAGCGTCTCTCCAGGCTGCTCCGCCCGAAGCTCATCAAGCTGCTCTTCCTCGACTCCTTCACCGAGGAGTAGGACCCCCTGGAGCCCGACAGGGCCCCGAGCTCCAGGTGACCGTTTGGTGTCAGAGTACAAATCCTTGGATCTAGAGATGAATGAGGAGAAAAGAAGTAAATAAAAGTAAAGCTGTGTTTTCCTTTTTGAGTTACAGTTTTTGATTGAGAGTGTTTTCCACGCCTGATGGTCAAGTAGATTAGGTTCGATCAGGGATCAAAATCAAAACATTTGCTATGTGGTACACAGATTTATCGGTGGCCATTTCCTTAATTTTGGGAGACTGGTGACTGGCCGATACTTAAATGTTAAGCTGATCTTTTCTACCGCAGCAAACCGGCCTCCTCTGCCCTCATGAGGAGACCATGAGAGCAGAGGAGGCCGGTCATGTCTGCAAACATTTCGGTAAGCCAAAGTCACCTCGCTATTGCCAAATCAGCAAATAATTCATTTCACACTTACAATAATTTTAGGTTAGGATCTGAAATATTTTTTTTCTATCTCCATCACTTTATCCTGTGTTGAGTAGAGATGCGCCAATCCGATAATAATATCGGAATCGGACCCGATATAAAAAACAAAATACTAGATTGGGTATCATGACAATGTGCCCGATCCATAAGGGCAGATCTATTCAGTCTAATTCTATGCTTTGTGCTGTGAATAATATCATGATTTATTATTTATTTTACATTTTTTTAGAATTTCTGATTTCTGATTTTACATGTTTTGACCAAGATTGTGAAGCTATTAGTGTATACAAGTGTGCTGTCTTGGTGCAGAGTTAAGAAATGAATGTGTTATTAGGTACATGTGTGTCTGTGTTTTAAAAAAAAAAAAAAACATTTTAAGCCAATTCAGCTCTGTTTTTCTGTATCAGAACAGCATAAGCCGATACTAAACCTCAGATATCGGTATAGGAGTTGAAAAAAATTGTGAAACATCTTGAAATATATCAAAATCCATCCATTTTATTTGATTTTGACTTAGATATTTATTTATTTTTTTTGGGTTGAAGCTGAGATTACTGACCCAAAGAAAACAAGGAACAAAATATCTGCAGCAGAAACAAAGCAGCGTTTGAGTTGCGAGGCGAGTGAACTCACCAGACAGCTTAATGGAGTCTCGTTTCTCACTCTCGTCACAGTTGGAGGACGAGCGGTCGTCGTCGGAGTAGGAGCGATTCGCATCGCCCTGCAGCGGAGAAACAAACCGGGAGCGTGAAACATTAGGCTCACAGGGCGCTCTTCAATGACACCAGCATGCCGCATCTTTTCTTTTTCAAAATCTCCGTTTTAGAAGTTCTACCTTCACATTTTAGTGTTTTAAGAAGCACAAAAAAAAAACATTTTTTATGTTTCCGAATGTCATTTGTATTTCAGTCATTGCAGATTGACAATAAAAGCAGAAAAATCACTGCAGGGCAAGGGCGATAATCTAAGAGGCTCAATATGAAGTTCTTTCTGGAGATCAAATCAGTAAATGCTTAAAACCTCTTACCCACCATTCAAGAGACCCTCACAGGTTTGCTTAAGACCTGCAAGGATTTTCCTACAGCTGTTACGACAGTAAATTGTCTCAATAGTCCCTGGTGCGTGTGCGTGTGTGGCGGCAGCAGCTATGGAGCGGATGAAGGCGTTGAAGGTGAGAGAGCCTGAGCGGGAGCTGGATGTGAAATAGAGGAGAGGAACATCCCGGAAGACTGACGGCTGTTGTTGACGTGTGTCAGCACGTTCACAGCCTTATACAGCGGATACAGTGATTCACTCATCAACGTTTGAAAAGCTGACTGGGTTATTAAACTCATCTTTCTGAATTAAACCATTTTTGACATTAGCTTGACAGTTAATAGCAGCATTGTTTACAAAGTGAGAGGAATGGCTCACAAATGCTAAAGCACCAAATTACTGTCTGAACATCTGCTAACCAAGTTAACTAAAACTAATGACATAAAAACTGACAGGGAGAAAAGCTTTTTGTTTACTGAAATAATTAACAAGAGAGAAAATATAACTAACTGGAAGTAAATTGTGTGTTTACAAAACTAACTAAAACCTACTGAAATGATAGACAAAGAGTTATTATGCCATCATCGTTAGATTACTTAAAAATTATCTCAAAACAACAATATACCAATATACTGTTAATCATAATAACTTCTGGGACAATTTGTTACACTAACACTAAATTGAACATGGATGCAAAGATGTTTTCTTTTTCTGTAATTGGTCAAATGAATACGTTTTACTTTTGGAAGAATTATATTTTTGGTTTTGATAAGACTTATGAGTTGATCATTAAAATGAATAGAAACTACACTGTGTGTAATAAGTCTTCATTTTACATGACTTAAATGCTTAAGTGAATCACTGGCATGAATTGTTCAAGTTTTTATGTTCTGATGAATTAATTTGCAAAATACAGGTCATATCCAAAATTATGTTATTTTGTGTGTTTATTTTCCTTTTTAACTTGATTGATTGATTGATTTTTTATATATATATTAATTATGCCAGAGGCTGCTGTGTGTTGTCTGTTTGCATTTTTCTCATTTCTCATTGAAAGCTGGATATGGTACACATCTTAGTGGCAACCAGAAAAATAACACATTGTCCATGTAGTTTAATTTTTACACCAAACCTGCAGATTAAAAAGTGCTGAGCTGTATTTCAGATGCAGCCTTGTTAATGTAAACGCGTTAGTAGTTGACGTGAGACATACGCAGCCCGTGTGGACAGCTGCATCGACTGCATTTGAATTGGATCTGCCTCCTCAAATGTGGCGTCATGTACATCACAAATGCTTAGCTTAATTTAGCTCTAAATGTCCCTCCCAAAGGTCACAGTATAAAGGCCCTCGACCTGCACAGACAGATGGACGTCAGCTTCCAACTGGAGAGGAGAGCATGCTGAGGATGCAAGGACAGAGGGGCTGAAACATGGGCAAACAATACAAGTTTGTAGGTTTTGCTCCGCAGTAAATTGCTTTGGGTTGTCACATTTTATAAAGAATAATATCTTCATCCACATATTTATCAATTCATGTTGTTTTGTACATGTATTACAAGATGGGCAGAAAAGACATGAAGCGTGTTACGCGACTGAAAACAGAGATTATAACAAAACAGTTTTTCATTATAACTCCAGAAGTTTTTTATGCATGTCATTAGGTGTTAGTGCGGTTGTGTCTGGTTTCATTTTTCATCATATTTCATTTCTTATGGTTATTTTTTGTCTTGTTAAACGAATAATGTTATAAGCTTAGTCCAGAAAGCCGAGCTTACAAGCATATCATTCTAGACACGTTTCAAAACTGTTGTCTACATTTCTAGACGCAAATTTGCAAACGTCAGAAGTGTCGTCATTTTTTAAATTGTTTATTTGGACGTTACAATAAATACAATATTTTGAATGTATATATATATATATATATATATATATATATATATATATATATATTAGAGTGGCAAAATGTTGAAGTTGCTCTGGATTTTCTCCCTTATCCACACAATACAATGTTTTTTTTTACTGTTATAAAGAAACTTCTGACATATTTCTCGCTGAATTTTGGCTTAATGTTTATTTTGACCACAGTTGAAGTTGGGGACAGCCAGCTTGCTTTTTGTTAGGCAGCATATTTCATTAGCAGTTTCAGGCTATATTCGTTGACTTGCTGTTATTGTGTCTACGTTTTACACATCTAGCTGCTTGTTTGATCACTTGGAGGCATTAATATCTCCCCCTAATTTGTGTGTTGCACCGGTCAGTGAAACCTGAGAATACAAAATACAGTTCAAGTAAATAAAAGCCCCAACATAATATTTTGTGGGTTTTTTTCCCTTTAAAACAGCTTATGATCATGACTTGCCTCCGCCTGAAACCCTTCCACCAAAATGGCCACCAGCAGATTGAAGAGGACGTAGTTTCCAAAGGTCATGAGCGCCACGAAGTAAAGAGCAGCGATCGGTGAGGTGGCTGCCATGCCGTTGTACAACACGGCGTTCCAATCCTCCTGGGTCAGAATCTTAAAGAAACGCAAAGGAAACCAAATTGAAACTTAACAGAAGCTTTGGACACACACTCCAGCACAAGTTGGTCGTTGTTCACCAATCACTAAGATGGATATTAATGAGCATAATAACTCCCACCAGCGGCGCCCACCCCATGCATATAAATGTTGAACGGGAGAGCTCCTTCAACTGCTGCATCCTGGGAGCACAAAGCAGCGTTACAGCAGATCCTTCCCCCCAGCAGCTCTCACACTCCCAACAAACTCAACAAGTGTTTTCATCCCTTCTGATATTTTGGTTGTTTCCATAGTTTTACTCATTTTTAAATAACATTTCTGCTGGTATTGCACATGTTTGTCCTGCACTGTTTTTAATTCTCATGTGCTGCAAACATTCTGTTTTGTCTTTTTATTGAACAAATACAAGTGCATGTACGGTACACATAAAAATAAAAAAAAAGTCATTCTACTCACCTGTATATTCCTTGGATCACTATTTTTGATAACTGCAGAGTATTTCCATGTTATAATCTTGTCCATAAAGTACAGAAAATTATTCTAATTTTTATTTTTTTACATAGTTTCAAGACTTATTGATCTTTATGTGAACTTATATACCTTGATCCTGCTGTTACCCCTGAATTTTCCCACTGTTGGAAGATAAAAGATAATTTTATTCTATTCTACCAATAATTAAAGCTAAACATACTTCCATGAAAATGTGTAGTTTGTCATCAAAAAAACAGATTGGCTCCTTTGCTCTAATATTTTAGGTCAGCAAATTTGACACGTGGTCTACCTGGAAAACGGTGACGATAGCCCAGAGCAGGGAGTCAAAGTTCTTCCTGTCTGGGACTGTATCCCCAGTTTCTGTCTTCAGACTAAATTTACAACCAAAGATGTGCATCCCAAGGATACTGCAACACAAAAAGAGCCACACAGGCAATCAAAACACATTGGCAAAGGAAAATGACCGCAATCTTCTTTATTTACAGTATGCAGAGCATGTCATTTTTTTAATACAAATTTTAGTTTTTTTCTTTGTTCACATTGATTAGAAGGTTGAATGGAAAATCGTGGATACCATTAATTCCTAATTCCTAATTCCATAATTCAAAGTCTTCTGAAACAGAACATATTTTTATGAGGACGTGTTTCAAGTTTGTGACGCCAAAACCTTAAAAAATGATAATAACAAGAAAAAAAAAAACTATCGGCTGTGGGTTGCAAAGCATCACCTTACCTAAAGATGAAGATAAAGAGCATGAGCAGCATGCAGAAGGTGGCCACGTTGTCCATGGTCTTCATGAGGACAACCAGCTGCCTCCTGAGAGCCGGCATAAATCTGACCAGCTTCAGCACGCGCAGCAGCCGGAACGTCCTGAGCACCGACAGGCCGCCGTCTGACTGGCCCACAATCTCACAAACGCTGCAGCGAGACGCAGAAAGCAGGAGGGTGAGCGACAAGTCAGAGAAACAAAACGCAGGCTCATGTTTCACTTTAAAACAGAGAGTTTGTTTGAGTTTGTAAGGACACTGGTGGCACCATGGCAGCTAAGGGGTTAATTAGAAAAAAAAACTCATTTTTTCTCCAAAGATTTATTTTCCTCCAGTATTCATGATATTTTTATATGTTTCAAACACTGGGTGAGTTACGTAACTTGGGCTTATGGTGTTTTTGCATGTTTGGATATTCTTTATGTTGACTGAGAGTTTTTCTCTCGGACTGAACCAACCAGCTATCAAAGGGTCCGCTAAGCACATCAAAATCCTATTTTCCCTGAACCGCTGAGGACTCAATGGAGGCACTTCCATAGAGTGGCTTTTTCCTCAATGGCCGAGGACATTCAGAAAGACAGGAAGAAAAAAAAAAATTAAATAAAAAGAAACGGGCCGAGAAGCATGGGATTAGAAGACAGACGCAGAAACGTTCAATCAACCTGCATCTTTCTGTGATGGGTTGCACATTTGATCTTTTTTCAGTTTTACATGCTTTGATGTGTATTTGATCTGAGGTTTCTAATGGGGATCACAGACAAAGACTTCTAACCATATGAACTAGGGGGGGAAAAAAAAAACGCACAAGCAGATCAAAGCCACAGCCATTCACAAAAAGCTCCAGGCACACACAACAAAAGACAAAACATGTTCCTGTTGCTGGCTGACACGTTGGCATCGCGATCCGTACAGGTGGTGCATTTGTACCGGGCAGCGAGTGTTTGACACCTTGACAAAACTGGGGTAATTTAATAGAATCACCTCTACTGAGTAACCAGAACACAAAGGCAGAAAGACAGAAACGAAGACAGACATAGAGGAAGACAGAAGGATAAACAAACGGAAAAAAGGCAGAAATAAAGACCAAAAGAACAAACGACAAGAACAGAGAGAAGAAAAGAGAAAGAGAAAGAAAGAAAATAAAGGAAGACAGAAAGATGAAACAAAAGACAAAAACGAAAGGAAAAGGCAGACCGACATAATGACAGACAGAAAGAGAAAGAGAGAAAGAAACAAAAAGAAAGTCAGAAAGATAAAGAAAAAGAAGGAAAGAAAAAATGAAAGAGACAGAATAGAGAAAAGAAAAACATAAGGACAGAGGAAAAGTCAAAGACAGAAAGTTGGAAACACAGAAAGACAGTACGAAACATGATTTAACTGAACTTGTTCCTGCTTGTAACATATTCAATTTGAATTAAACTCACACAATGTGAACACAATGCACCGAGTTATGACACGCCTGCCCTGTAAGAACCTCAGCCTGTCACTGATGGACGTAAATCTGAGGTCCAAGGTTGTTTTGTTTGTACCTTATGATGACGATGATGCCGTCAAACACGTTGTAGGGGTTCCTCAAGTAGTTGAAGGAGCCGAAAGCAGTGAGCTTCAGGATCATCTCCATGGAGAACATGCTGGTGAAAACAATGTTGCAGATCTCCAGCACGTTGGTGAGCTGCTCCGGCTGACCGCCAGAGGACACAAAATCAGAAAATCGGAAAGAAACAAATAAATAGATAAAAACAGAGACAGGAGGATTAAAACTAAAGAAAGATAAAAGAAGTAGAGAAAGTAGCAGGGAAGTGTCTTGCAGCAAATTGCATCAACTGAGACTGCAATCAAATATGTTAAATGAAGCTCTTGCAGCTGTAGGAATGTCAAACTAAATATATGAGACTATTTGTCATAATTCATTATTTTATATCAACAGCAGCTTGCTTACAGCTGGCATAAAATTTTAAGCTCCTTATTGTGTCAAACTCACCATATTTTGCCCTTATTGTACAGCATTTTGTTCTTTATTCTGTTTTTATATATCCTATGTTTGTGTGAGTCTATTTGCTGTTATTGCCTGTCACTTTGCTGCTGTTGCACAGACAATTCCCCACTATGAGACAATAAAGAACACTTTGATTTTATTCCTGTAGGAACATCCTTGACTCTACATGTGCACCTGTTTGTAATATCATGCAGAATGTGTGTGTGTGTGTGTCTGTGTGTGTGTGTGCGTGCGTGTGTGTGTGTGTGAGTGTGTGTGCGTGCGTGCGTGTGTGCGTTTGTGTTTTTGCTGGCTGGTTTGAGTTTCTCAGCAACTGGTGATTTCCTGCAATTTTTATGCAAAACCAACTCTTGGTTTGCAGAGCAGTAGGAAGCAACTCCAGGTGCCACTTCTGTGGGCTGAAAAAAAAAAAAGAGCAGCAGCTCTGTGGATGAAAAAGCTACGTTAACGACAGAGGAATATATGAAAAGTGGCTTGAAATTATAGAAAGGCAAAAGTAGGTCAAATAATCACTTTTTGCAGCCAACGTTTGCAGAATACCATCTATAAATCCACACCTGGTGCTAGTCCTGGGCATGGGCAGAAACTTCACCCAAGCATTTGAAATCCACCATGATTGGTCAGTCTCGGCAGATGATCCTAAAATTTAAATTAAATTCATCCATCTTCTCACACCCTTGTCCCTGGTGAGGACAGTCGGGGGCATTTCAGGCGAGAGGCTCTACGTTTTCTCCTTTGGTGTTTCATTCGTCATCAACCATCTTAGTGTCTTTGCATAGCAGTTGAGATGACAGCACTTCATAAAATCAGCTTAGATTCAACAGTTGGCAGCAGCAGAAGAACGTAAGGAAAAAGATAGTTTCTAAAGCAACTCTTAACTGCAAAGTCTGGGCTCACAAGTGTAACTCCTCAGCTTTTTTTCTTTTACAAGTTTTAGCAAGATTTAGCAGTGACTGTTTCTCAGTGGTTATACTGAACTGTGCACATGCTTGAAAAACTTCCAGACTCTTCCTCACCAATCAACCTCCACAAAAATTGTCAGGGGAAAATAATGGTGAAATGTAAATCTATCCAAAGTGATAAACAGCATACAATCACTCCCTTACACCCAATAACAACCTATTATCTCAAGTTAACACTCCTCGCATGTATTCAAAGTGAGGGACAAACCAGAATACCTGGAGAAACCCAAGAATATACAAGAAAACAAGCTCTGAATCAGAAGCTGTTAAAGCCTGGATTTAAACTCTGTAACTTGTTGCTGTTGGGCAACAGCTCTAAGCACTTTGACCGCGGCGTCTCATAAATAATAAAGTACAACCAGAAAACCTCGTCTAATGGTATACGTGCTGTAAATTATGCAACCTTTCTTCCCCGAGCGGCTGTGGCCTTTGTCACAGGACTTTGGAGAACCACGTGCGTTTTTCCCCCCCAGAACAGAACAGGTGAGAACGAGAACACAGTCACAACAACAGGCGCCGTCTGCGATTCTGGTGTTTAACCATGTCGCGAAGGAACACTCTAGTTTCCTTCCCAGGCAGCTAGACAGGCAAACCCAGATTTGTATTTCCTCCCCATTAACACAGCAAAGTCTCTCTGTCACTTCCCTTCTGTCTCGCTATTTTTAGCTGCAGCTAGGATGAGAGACGACCTACCACTGCGGCGGTGGCAGGCATGAGTGGGCGATGGTATAGCGAGAGAGAGAGAGAAAAAGAGAGAGAAATATTGATAGAAATACAAAGAGTTCAAAAAAGCTGAGCGACAGTAAAACATAGAAACCAGAGGGCGAAGAAAAAGCTACAAAACATGCCACAGCATTGCTTTTATTACTGTGTTGGTGAATGTAAACATTTTTTTTGTTTATTTATTAATCTTGGTAAAGTTATAATTGTTGCATTTTATTAGATTTTGGAAATAATCAGCGAGTCACTTTCTACATTTTGCCTGGATCCCTATAAATTTACTTCCTTCTCAAAACTTCTACAAACATTACTCCAAGCTGACAAAGTGACAACACACCAGTTTATTCCCATATTCACTTTTTAGGTTTTCTTCTCTTTACTCCAAGTTGAAGACATTTTAATTGGTATTGGAAAATGTTTTCTAAATCCACACTTAAAACATTTGTTTTCTATTCTGAATAGCAAAAGTGTGCAGGTAAAAAATCCCAAAAACTTTGCAACAGGAAATAGTTTATTTGAACATTTTCAGCAAGAAGTGCTCTTGCAATAACGCAGCTACCTTGGGAGTGAGTCAGAAGTAAAATCATTTGTTTCCATTTAACTTCAATATAAGGTTCAATCCAAAGTTTCTTACTATATTTTTAGTAATAAATTATAGCAGTGAGGAAAATGAGGGTTGAAATTTATTTTGGAATAAACCAAATGTGGAACAAGTGAATATCTCCATTTCATTGTATTTTGATGTTTTATATTCCTTGAGAGTAATTATAAATTGGTTTTAAAAGGAATTTGAATAAAGGCTCAAAAGGTAGATTTTTTTAATATGCTAACTTAGGTGTGTTATCAATTAATGCTCGTATTACCTGCTCGTGGTGCTCAATCCCCATGCTGATGGTGTTGATAAGGATGGCGATCATGATGCCTCGGTTAAAGTACTTGCTCTCTACAATGCCCCACAGCTTCTTCCTCGTGTCCTGCCAAAGTTCTTTGCATCGTTTCTTTGGACTACATCCTGTATGGTTCTCTGCTCTTTTCGGGGGGGTTTTGTCCTCGTCTTTGGTCCCTTGTTTTTGCTTATCCTCATTATCGGTTTTGTCCACGGCTTCCTCCTCTGTTTCATCGCCAGCGACACAGACAGTTCCCACTCCGTCTTTAAGTTCCGGTGCTGCAGCACACAGAGGACAACCGTCTACTTTCGAGGCAGCGGTCAGGGCTACGGGCTCAGCTGACGAGACGTGGACTGGTTTATGATGATGAGGGCACGGATGACCTGGGAACAGAAGACATTTGGATGTCAGTGCATATCGGGTGAATTATAACTTCTGCTGCCTTTATCATGTTCTCAGCCACCTACCAGGCCTGGACACAAGTCTTCTCTCAAGTTCTCGCCTTCCATTGGCCTTCTTCTCCCTCTCGTCCCCACCTCGTCTTCCTCGCCCAACGCCCCGAAACCCACGGGGTTTACCTCGCAAACTGTTAAAAAAGGCAATAGTTTGCCTCCTGGCCTTGCGGAGGCAGTGGCAGACCAGCTGGAAGAGTTCTTCGTAGCAATCTCCCGGCTCGCTGGCCAACGTCGAAGAGGACGAGCACCGAGCTCGCTGCTCCTGCATTAGCTGGTGCTCCCGCTGCTTGGTCTCTGAAAACTGGGTTGCGATGACCACAAGGCACAGGTTGATCATGAAGAAGGAACCGACCTGAGAGGGTGATAAGTGTGCAGAAAGTTTGGTTGAACAAGTAAGTTTCCCAAGAGAGGCCTGAGACCAAACGAGGAGAAGCAGCATTGAGCTTCTATGCACCACAAATCTGGAGAAAATTTCTAGAAAAAATACAAAACTGCGGTAACACTGAGTTATATTGTTTCCCTGGCATCCATACGTTCAATACATCTCTGAAGGTAGTGATCAATAACCCTGATCAGCCGATGCTGTTCTCTCCCTTTGCTGCGTCAATACCTTCAGGTGAGAGCAGATTTATGAATGTGTCTAAATAGGGCGCTGTGGAAAGTGCTCCATAGGTAAAGCTCCTCATCATCGATTCAAAGTATTGAGTTTTCATCAGACTCGCTGCTTTTTCGATGATTTTACAAGACTTGTGGACAGAAAGTGCGATAATAGATCCCAGAACCCATTCAGCACATTCACTTCCCCCTTGAAATATTTATACTCACACTCTCTTGGAACACTGACAGGACAGACATAGATTTGTCTTACTATAGTCAGCTCTTAAAAAATAAACAAATCAAAGCTCGCGTAGCACAGCTGTTACAGAAAGCTGCTACTGTGAGTGTCACAAGTCAGCAGCTGACCGACCTCCATTACCATGGAGAGGCAAATAACTGAATGTAGATATTAAAAAGTTGTTCAAGTTGAACTTAAGGGGTCAAGCAAAGAGGAGAAACGCTCAGCAGAACCCTGAAGAGGATGCTTCCTCCTCGTGTGAAAACAAAGGCCGCATCGTGGACTAACAAGCCCACCATAATAACTTAGAGGCTTCGAAAGCTAGCATCCCCACCAAGATAAAGGAGGTGCGTAGAAATGTTAAAAGAGAAGTTAGCAAAGCTGTTATACTGATTAAGAAAGAATTTTACAGTCCAGAGAAGAGATAAAACTTTCAAATTCACTATAATGAACTTCAGGTGGAAACGCCAGTAGACAAAGTTCTGAAAAAGAATCAAAAAAGTTCAACATAGTATTAGTTGAGGAATGTGCACATATAAAACAAGGTTTTTGAAAACTTTTCTTGCGTTGTGGATTTTTATTTCTGACAGATTTCTCCATTTTTCAGCTGATTCAGATATTATATCAGTATAAAGGATTTATCATGGCCGCAGATTTTTTTACATCAACAAAACATCTAAATGTGGTTGTAGACTTTTGATAGACACTTTATGCATGATGTGCAAACTGATGCAGACAATAAAATCCCAGATTTGCAGTTAAATCGAGCCGACAAGCATGATTAGTCATTCATGTTGGTTTAAAGCATGTGCTTAGAGATTTCCGCCGCTGATCAACACTGTCAAATTGTAGAGATGCTGTTTGAGTCGCAGTCGCATGTCAGAGCAGAAGGCTCTATCATACAGACTTTGAAAACAAATAATGTTGAGGATGTTGTTTGAGGATGCTAAATCTTAATTAAACAGTCAAGCTGTTTTCCAAATAATGCTCCGACTCTGCTGGGTTTCTTGTTCAAACTCTCGACGATGATAATCACTCCGAAGAGCTTGATCCGACTCGTTTCATCTGTCTCTCCATCTGATGCTGTCTCTTGTCATCTAGTTCCCCTCAAGCCGTATCTCCTATCGTCTTCTCCGTATCCCACGCCATCTCTCAGTTTGATTTACCTCATTTTATCCGCATCAGAGCGAAACCGCCGAACCGTTTAAACCCCTATCCCTCCCTCTCTCTCTCAGTCTCCATACTTTCTTTTCACTCCATACGTTCAGTCCGCTGTTGCTCGGTGGCTTAGTACTCCGTGTTGGAAAGTCTGTTGAACATGAATAAAAGTCTCTCCGTCTGTCCGCCGGTTTGACGATGACAAGCGGGAGTAGAAACAGAGTTGAGTATGTCAGACTGGTAAAGCGCTCCAATCACTTAACTCCACCATATTTGTTTGGGAGAGAGTCACTGAAGTGTGATGCAACAGAGCCGACAAAGGTTTGACAAATAGAGGAGGAAATCTCAAATTGGAATATAGAAAGTGAAAGAGAAATAAATATGTTGCTTCATTTTTTGGTTTTAATGTACAATTACAATAATGAAACAACTTGACAATTTGTGGAAAACCAGGAGTGGTAAAGATGTATAAAATGCCCCACAGTAAAAAAAACATAGTATTTTATTGCTGAAGCACAATTGTTTGCTTGGATTTGATCTTTTTTACTTTGGCCTCTAAAATAGTACCATTGGCTTTTATAACATCTGACAAACATCACACTGATAGGTGAAAATTGCAAGCCTGCACAAAAATTTGTGAACAATGACTGAATTTGCGGCAACAGTTGCGAACGCGAATGTGGCTTTTTTATCGAAGCCACGCTAGGCTTCCATGAAAGCCGAATTGAACGTAAATGCATCACACGTTCGAGTGTGGTGCATTTACGTTTTTTGAGTTAAACTATACAGATTGGAAACAAAGCTAACTCCAGATTTTTAACAGTGGCGCTCAGTTGCCTGCAGCCACCAAAGCAGTTTCTTCCTCTGGTCAGTTTCGGTGTTACGTAAGAACTACTTTATTGATTTTGGAGCCAGAAGAAGTAATGAAACCAATAGGAATTGGTGCAAAATAACCACTGGCACCAGTTTAACAGTGAAGCTGGTTTGCTGGAAGAGGGGCTTGTGAGAGCTGGCGAGGTAAAAATGGGTCCTGCTCCAGCCCATAAATGGCTGATTAGATGTGTTGAATCTTGCAATATTGCTCAGTCTGGGATTCAAATTATTTTGATGTTTTAGGGCATACTGTATATGTACCTGCCTTAATTTAGCATTACACTGGCTTAATTTGAAGGGCTTGGCATGTATCTTATTGCATGACATGCTTGTTACCCCGATCCTGTGATCAGGGTATCTGCCCTGCGCACATGAGCCATAAGAGAGCATGCTGAGAGACTCACTCTAATTAAGGACATTTCACTTGACATCAAAGACAGCGCTCGCATCACCTCGCTCGCTCACCGTCCAATCCCCCCCCCGGATTTCATGCCGCTCCGGTCCGTCACCATCACCTCCCGGTTTTTCCTCTTCACGTATGTCAGTCATTCCCGTTTTATCCCCCGTTCATCACAGGCTCTCTTAAGCCCGCTCGGTATCTTACGATTCTCCCTCGCGTATCCCTCGCTGCATATCTGGCCATTCTTCCCCCTATCTGTATTTTTTCACACACATTTCATCATCTTTCTTTTAATTTCCACAAATCCTCACTCCTGCCTTTGGTTATTACGCTTCACTCCTTCCTCCTCTTTTCATCCTTTGGTAAACGACGCATCCACATCAAAAGGCGGCCATTATTTCACAAATCGGCAGTAGGAAGCCGACGTCGGCGGTTTGATGTGTTGGATAGTGTCCAACAGCAAATCAGAGCCAGACCGTGAGAATTTGTCTTCGTGCCTCGGCGTGTGTGAGAGAAAATAACTTTGAATGTTTTACTGTTTGTGACAGTATGTGTCTCAGAATAGATTGTAGACACACTGCACCAGCATTTCCAATGACCATATAGTTGCACAATTTAGAATTTTGAAAATAAATTTGCTTAATGGAAATATGCCAATTCTTTTTGATAAAATGTTTTGGCGCTAGGATGAGGTGTTTTTTTCTTTGACCATATCAAAACTGGTGTATTTCGCAAAACTGCAATGGGAACACTTTTGTCAAATCACACGAGTGACACTGTCAACAACCGGAGCTAAGCAATGAAGAAGTTGACAGAAAATAGTTGGATGTTTTTGACTTGTCGCGTGAACAAATGTAATTAGGTGTGATTTTAATTGTGCTTCTTCTTTAAACAAAACACCAAAATTGTGTTTTTTTGACATTAGCCAAATATTGACGTTTTTGTGCACATTAGCCAAATATTGACGTTTTTGTGCACATTTGTAATGGAAACGCATCCAGTTACATGAGTGAAGACCGCTAATACAGCCAACTGAGAACACAGAGACGAAAAGAAGGCAGCAGAAGAGCGAAATCAGGCTGTCAGAAAACAAAAAATAGTGGAAGGGGAATAGCGTATGGCAAAGATGGACTTGGGGAGAGAAAGAGAGAAAGCAGAGACGGAGGGGAATGTGTTGCAGGCGTGAAAGTGCAGGGAGCAGAGATTGACAGATTCAAGGATAGAGTGATACTAGGAGAAGTGACACATTAACGAATGAAGAGTGAAGAGAGCGAAAAGCTTGTGTCTGCCTCAGAAGGCGAGGCAATTAAAAGTCTAATAAAAAAGACAAGACAGCCCCTGGGTAGCAGAGTAGCTGGAGCTAGCAGTCACGCTGCATTATGATAACACTTCCACACACACACTTCTAAGTACTCCCCGACAAGCTAAAATAGAAATATACCGAGAAAGCCACGCATCGACGCTCACACACAAAGGCATACTGTGGCACACATAGAGAAGTTAAAGGACTGGAATTAAAAAGTGTTTTATGGAAACAAAAGGGAGGATTCTTTAGAGATTTGTGCACTCAGCATGTGTGTGCGTGTGCGTGTGTGCGGATTTGTGAGAGTGCACGCCTAGCTATGCATACAGGTAAGATACAGAAGACAGAAACAATACATGTCTACTGACAAAATGAACTCAGCCAACCTTATATGATTATAAACTTACAATTCATAATTCATATCAAATGTGTCCAAATTAGTAAAGAAACCAAATGTCTCATGAGAACTCTACTAAACTGTACATATGATTTTTTTTACCTATTCAGATTCACCACATTAATATTAAGCAGTTACTCAGTCAGTATAATGTGTTCAACATTTTTGATTTAAACAAAAGTGCAGACAAGACTTACTATTATTAAGAGGATGAAGTAGATAAAGTTGTAGAAAGAGTGAGCATCCATTACATAGTACATGATCTCCACCCAACCCTCCAGAGTGATCACCTAAAGTAAAGAAGACACAATAAATTCAGGGCCACAGAGATTTTATTCAGTAAACGGTTCAATCAAGGATTGTAACTTAATCTGTTACTTATTATTAAGTAACAGATGGACACACAGTCTTCAGGCTCAGTGTGTCCCAAAAAATGTAATAAAAAAACTCACAGCAAAATGTGCTGAGAGGAAAACATCTGAACAGGCTAAAGACAAAAACTGTGCAGAAACTAAAACTAGATACACTTGAGATTTCATAGATCATTGAAACAAAGGGCAGTTTTATTTATCATTGGTAGAAAAAGAAGCAAAAAGAAAGCAGCATATTGAACACTACAATATGCTGTGTACACTCACTAATAATTGAGTGTTATTTTGAATTCTCAGAGATTCAAAATAACACTCAATAGTGAATGCCAGTTCAAAACATTTCAGGCTGCACAACTTAATTGAAATATACTATGTTTTCTAACAGCATTCATAACGTGAAGTTGTTTTTCTGTGGACACTTAAGGTAAATGCTGCTGGCAGAGTTTTAATCCTGACCCACTCTTGTTTTCTGTTGCTGATGATTCACAGGCGGTTTTGTGCAAAGCTCTTAATCCATGAAGCCACTTGAAGTGCTTGAATTGGCTCATCAAATCCTTGAGCCCACTTAAATATTCAAACCAGAATAATGCCTTGTCATGAACTTTGGGACGGCAGGACGAAATCCATTAGGCTAAGCACGATTTCAAACCAAAGCCATATAAAACAAAACAAAACAATTAAAACTCTGGTGGAATTTTTCACCCACCTGAAAGATGACAATCCAGGCATAGGCAATGTTATCAAAATTGATGGCACCTTTGTGTGGGTTGCTGCTTCCAGTATGACATCTAGTATAGTACTGGTTCCAGTTGACGCACAGGCCAGCTACACTGAAGGTGTTATTGGTCAAAGGTTCAGGACTCAGTCCAATGGACTGACGGTAGACGACGTCCTCTTTGTCCAAACAACAAGCCCGGCCTCCTTCACGGCGGGCTGGGACGTCTGAGCAGGACATGATGCCGTTGTCGACGGGTAAGGAGCAGATGAAGGGCCGCTCGTCATCTTCATCGGCCATGTAGTAAGGTTTGGGGAGACCAATACCTGTGGTCCTGGAAGTGTTGAAAGAATGTCATGTTATGAACATGAACAGACATTGTTTGCGGACCAATTAAAAAGCCAAAATCATGCATTGGGTTAAATCAGGTCAACCAAAAACAAATGTATTCACAGTCTGTATATAGAAGGTTTTCACACCCGATAGTCTGGTAGACAAAAAATGGCAACATTTGTTGCACTTTTATTTGGTGTGGAAACCAAACCCACTGAAAACTCTGTTTACCAAACTGTTTAGATCATCCGGACAGCAGTTGTGTGGTTGAATATTATTTTAACATTCTAATCATAGCTGACGATTCATAATCTTAATGTGACAATAAGCAATAAAGATGTCTTAAGCACATTAGAGGAGCTTTCTAGTCAAGCTGAAGTAGTATATTGAGGCTATGCTTCCAGAAACTCCAGAATAATATATGTTGCTGTCAGGAAAAGGTGACTGGAGAGACTGTCGTATCTGGAAGGTCCTGGCAGAGCGAGTTAAATGCTCCTCCGTCACAATGCTAATGTAGCTCATGCAACACTGACTCAGTAGATTGCACTATTTTCCTGCAAATAGCCACCATTGCACTGATTTTAATGAAGTATCAGAGTAGGACTCAGTCTCCCTCCAAAGAAGAAAAAAAACAACATAATTGAGTCATCATTAAAAATAAACAAGTGTGAGATCCAAAGAGCAACAACAAGTCATGCTAATACAATTCTCAGTGTTATTTTTCTAGATTTAGACAGTGAGTTATTTAAAAAAAATAAGTGTAATTTAAACTGTAAGTTTTGTTGCTACTGGCACAACTAAATCAAAACCTTCATGTGGAGACTGGGGTTCATGTTTTCTACGCAGAGTCTCGAATAATCATTTTGGCTATTACTGCTTTTCAAAAGGTTTGAAATCACATTCAGTTTAAGGTTCTGTTTGGTCCAATTTTGACGTTCAGATTAAACAGTCCACAGAGTCATAACAGAGACATATGGGTGAGGACAAAACTAGGGAAAAAGTGCTTTTATGTATCATGAAGGGGACACTCAGCCTTGGGTATTGTTTATGTTTTCTATGTGAGCAAAACTGCATGCCCTTCATGGTCCTCTCACGCAGCTCTGCAGTTTGAGACTGGAACATAGAGCAGAATTTTCTCTGAGATGGAGATGAGTGGATGAAAGGTTGGGGAGATAGAGGGAGGTCATTATACGGGTAATGGTAAAATTGAGCAAAATGAGATCAGACGGGGATAGGCAGAAAGATGCCACTATACAGAAACATGCACACTTCAAACTCAGCACCATCAGCGCCGTCTGTCCCCACAGTTGACCATTTTATGTGGTTTCTCTGTGTGCCAACCCTTGCATGGTGTACTTTGCACTTTTGCTTGCAGTCAAATTGACTGATTTAACATTGGTGACAGATCAGCCTCACACAGAGCTGTCTGACCAACTGGTCAAACCAAGGAATCACGAATTTCACCTATTTTGGGGTGGTTTCTTTCTCTCTAATTTTCAAATAACATTAAGAGCTTAAATATCCCTGTTAAATTTTATTGTTGATTCTATTTCCTGAGAATGAAACAAAGTGATTCATATCTCCCGCGCCCCAGAGGTCCCACCCCCGCCTCCCCACACACACACACCCCACTGAAACTAAGAGGCTGCCTCCTGAAAACCCAAACGCCATAATCTGCAGCGTCTTTTACACTTGACATCCCGGGAAATGCTGTTGTCCTGGCAACTACAACTCAAACTCTTCCATCGAAAGAGGCATAATCCTTCAGTACAGAGAATACATGTCTACCGCCACAGAGTCCGAGTGCAGTGTGCTTTACACCGCTGCATTCACTGCTTTACGTTACACTGAAACAGGGCTTGGATGAAAACCCATTCCATCAAAGTCTGTTCTAAATTCACAGTTTTTGAGCCAATTCATGAAGTTTGGAGGTCTGACGCTACTGATTTGGCCCCAGCAATTGCTGAACCAAATGCTGGTCCAGCAAATAAAATTATTTTTACGTGGCCAACCTATTTATGTCCGTAAATAACTATCTATGGACATAAACCCTTATTTCTTCCACCCAAGGCTGAATCCCCTTATCCTTGCAGGATTGTTTGCATGTCTTCAGCGGTCATTGTCAGAGAGGAGGGGAGTACAGCTGACCCTATATTGGGTTTTCTAACCTTCTCAGAGCTAAAAAAAACATAAAAATCTTACTATTCTTCCGCAACTACTTAGCAGAAGATTCATTTCATGGATCTTCACAGCGAAGCTCTCATTTCTATGGCAATTTACATATGCGCTCAGATTCACGCGTGCATTAAGAAAGCATCGGCGGGTCTGTCCAGAAATGATTTCCTGCGGGCCACCTGCGACTTCTGCCGATGGTGTTTTTGCCGTTGTTTCCGACCACAGGCTCTGGGAGCGGCGAGAAGCCACCAGAAATAAATGAGGTAACCCACCCGCCCACCTTCTCTACTTTACTTTTCCGCCACTGCTGTGTGTGACTAAACCCCGCATGCAGTAGCAGCAGCAGCCCGTCTCATTATTACACCGACTACTGGAGATGTGCCTCTGTGTATGGAGATGATTAACTTCACCGAATGACAGGCCTTTTATCGTTTTGTACCCGAGGAAATGACTGACACCTCAGCAAAGATTTAATGTTGCATTTTTATTTTCTTGTCCTTCAGCAATTATAGGAAAAGAAAAGAAAAAAAAAAAACATGAATCGGTCAACAAGACAAAAACAGTTTACTTTCTTTGGACGACATTACCGAAATTAACTCGGCATCGGTTCAGTTTAGGCGTAGGACATCCCGTAATCGTGTTTCCTTTTTCAAGTCTCCATTTCATTTATGACGTGGTTGCCATGGTGGTGACCTACCCCAAAGCTTCTTATCAGATCATTATTTTCTCACTAGGCTTGGCAGTGCGAATGCCTGTCAAACCCATTCCTCCATGCCGCTAAAGCAGGCTAATCAAGCGCTTGGCTGAGAGTTCGGTCTCCCCAGGCAGTCACAAGCCGCGATTGCAGTCGCATTGGCTTTACTCTTAATGGACCGGTGGGAAAAACAAACATCACCTGTTAAATATCCCGGCTTTGAACTTTGATTTGCTCCTCATGCTGCTGGAGGACATTAAAATTATTGTTTTAATTGAATGGATGAACACTGCAATTAGAGTTCATCCCTTATTTATTTTAACCACATTTAAAAGTCATAAACACAAACAAGCACCTGCTTCTTATTTAAGTGAACGAATAACAAATAAAATCCAAGACACAGTTATGACTTGGCATCGCCAACGTGTCGCTTCATTTTAACTCCTTCACAAAAGACTTCATATAAACCAGCGAAAAAGATATCTATTTTTCTTTTAAAAACACTACTAGTAACTCAATTTTGTGCAAAATGTGACGTTTTTGAGCTTTTACATCATGTAAATGTTATTCCCTCATCAAAAACATACCTGGAGTGTTGCATTGATTCTTTCATGCATGTCTTTTAGTCTCCCATGGCAACCATCCAGCTGTGCAAAACGCCTGCATGGACCTAGCTCCAAACTACTGCTTCTAAGCTCCATTCTTCTGCCTCATGGAGCAGCCCCCTCCCCCCTCCCCCAAATTACCAATTCAGCTCCTTCTGACTAGCCAGTAGCAATTAGCAAACACCTGGTGGAACTGAACTTCTGCAGAGCTCGTTGTACAAGCTACTTCTGATGAAAATGTTGGTAAAGGGATCATAGAGGAGCCATTTTGTGATGACTTCCTGAAGGCGGAGTTTCAGAAGGAGCTGGGGTTTCTTAAAGAGACAGACGCCCAATTTCAAGGAGTTATGCTACAAAGTCAAATTTATTTAAAGTCATATGTCACATATAGCATTACTACAACAACTGAAGGTAACATAGTCACTTTATTGTGCTGTAAAATGGAACTTTAGAGGAATGCACTTAACTTTACAAATGTGCACACAAGAAATACATTAAAAAAGAAGAATGCTGTTAAAACAACTGTAAACTATCACTCTCTTTTTCCCTGAATTTTCTGAGGAACCTTAGTTTAGCTGACAGATTCATTCCATCTTCAAACAAACTATGTGCTGAGCATAGTTTTCTCTAAAGAATTAGTTTGATTTTGGTACTTCAAAAGGCTCATTTTTAGTTTCGATACACGCGTTACACAGCAGCGCTTTGGCTGAAGGAAGTCCCTTAGCCGATAAACATTCTGTCAAAGCCAGATAAAAAAAAAATAACAGAAATTTAGATGGATTTTTTTTAGCAGTAAACTGCTTTTTCAAGTTTTCATTTTTCAAATTCTTTAACAAGTACTATCTTTCATATTTAATTGGTCATAAAGAGAGGAATTAAACTCAGAATCTTGAGGGAAAATGGGTAAAAACTGCAGCATCACACCTTCAATGTTTAAAATCATTTTTTATTGATCTAAACGTGATTAAAATTACCTTTGAGTTTCGCCCATGGCTTGGTGCATCTCCACTGGACTAATGATGAATTATCATCTGATACCGTAAGCAGAGGTTTCATGTAATGTAAAAGGTATAAAGACAACAGAAAACCACACACACGTTTCAACTTTTAATGAAGTGCCAAACTTGATTCCGAGATAATGATATTTGCTTTGCGCACATTTTGCCGTGCACGAGGAGGTTAGCCTCATTATGTTAGGACTCGAGAGACTGAGAGCCGGAGGGGCTCTTCATCTCTTTTGGGTTTTTTTTTTCTGCGGTGATAACAGTAAATTGAGTAGATGATGTAATTATTCTTCTCATCGGTTCAGATCAGGTGATGAGAGGAGAGCTGGGAGACACTTACACGGCAAACTTCACTCACATGTAGAGCTACAATGTATTTTCTAATTCATGCAAGCTTTTTGCATTTTTTATTTTGTGTACAAAATCAACATGTTGTTACAGTCACGTTTCCATGGAGACAGAAGTGCACCGGGGTTTCTTACGCCCGTTTTCACAGGCTAACGCACAAAACCAGACGTGGACTCACAGTGTGAAGTTCTCCTCTGGGTAGCAGCGGTTCCTGAGCAGCCCCGCCCACAGCTGCACCCCGATGATGCCGAAGATGAAGAAAACGAAGAAGCAGAGGAGGAGCACGTTACCCAGCATGGGCAGCGTGTCGAGCAGCAGGTTCACCAGGATACGCATGCCTGCAGTCACACACAGACGAGTGAAAGCACAGCTTGAACATGCTAAGTGCAGTATTTAAAAGCAGGCAGATTGGCCTTTGTACAGATATGCGGTGAGTACACCAACACGTAGCACAGTATACATGTGTAAAAAGTATCCCGCAGGGTTTTATGAGCCTGGCAGGCCACCAGGCTGAGAATTGTTAAATTCAGATAATTATTATTATTTTTGTTTCCCTTTCATATGACTTCAGAGTTCATATCGCAAATAATGTCTTCCAGTAACACACAAACATTTTTCTCAACTTAAAGTTTGAGATCATGTGTCTGCAGTAAAAGATTTTCTTGGTAGTTTTCAACTCATCTTGACCTATAATGAGGTGCTACACGTGCCCCAGTGATTACTAAGATATAAGCAATAATGATATTTTTTGCTCCACAGCACAAGATGATTTAACAAAAATCCATTCAACTTTTGAAAACAGAAACACTAAAAACAGGAAAATGCCATTGAAGTAACTACAAGCACTTTCTTCTGGATGCTATTGCAAGAAAATCTCTGAATCCAGAGAAAATACTCAAATGTCAATCAACAACAAAGCTTTAGACTCGTCACTCATGGATGGAGACACCCAATATGACCAAATGCAGTTCTGAAAGTAAGTAGAACTGTTTGGTGGATCGGTTTGGGCCTCAGGGCTCTAAAGTTGGGCCAGTGTGGATCACACTTTAATAAAGTTGGGAGGTAAGTGCTTTGGAGGCCATGTCATTGCTGTCTGCTATGCCTCTTCAGGTCCTCACTCTGACAGCCGGGTGGTGAACATCAAACTGACATGAACGACTCGTTGCTCAGCAATGTCCAGCTCAGCACAGAGAGATGTTAGAGATGACGTACTTACCACTGAAAAATATAGTTGAGAGTTTTATGATTGTATCTCATAATTAAAACGGCAACTGTATATTTGAAAAAAAAAAAAAAAAAAAAGGAGTACATTTCAAAACTCAAGAAATTTTCTAAAAAAAAACAACAAAAAAACCCAAGCTCCAAATTTGAGAATTTGGCAGGAAAAAAAATTGTTTTGAGATTAATATTAAAATTTCTGAAGTTTCTATTGCAAATTTGTGACTTTTCAAACTCAGACATTTCCACGTTTTTCTATAAGTTCAATAAAAAGAATGTTGATGGTACTTTAGTGGAAATGTACTCCTTTTTCTAGAATGTCCGTAATATCCCGCTTTATGTAATATTTAATGTTTTCAATAAAAATTGAGTTCTAGACAAATGTCGCTGCTCCAGATGAGAGTAAACATGAGAAAAAAGAAACAAAGTCCTCCAACCGACTGCTGTAGTTTTATCTTGAACGCAAATATCCATTATTCCACATCAACACTTTCATTCTCTTTCTCACCCTGAAATTATTGTAGTATTGTGAAATTTCCATTCCATTAATTGCAATATTATAATGAATAAATCATCAAACTCCCCAGTAATAATAGTCAAACAACCTTTACTTCAGCAAAGAACTCGAGAAAAAAATTAGCCCAGTGGTTAAAGCTGCATGTAAAGTAGACTGAAGATGGATGGAGTATTTAGCTAATTGGGCCAAGAGGGATTGCAGTTATTAAAAAAAAACAATAAGTAAAACATATTCTTTTATAAAACTGACATTTTAAAAAATTAAAACCTGTTTTAAAAGGGGGTGAATAGATATGCAGTCATTTTGTGTTAAATATGTTATGCAACTTTTTGCAGAAATCAGTTTTCACTTTGACATTGAAGTTTTTTTTGTAAACTTTTCTGTAACAAAAACTTAATTTTATTTATCATGATTGACTTGCAAAAGCAATAAAAAAAAAGGGGTAAAACATCCAGTGGGTGAACATGTCCTACAGACAGTGTAAAATGCTCTGGAGAAAACACCAGAACATGCTTCCATCTGATCATCTGAAAGCAGCAGTGAAATTAAATCGGCCGACGATCGTAACTGGATTCCGTTGAGGCGAAAACGCAGCAAAGGCATAGTTTAACCTTGACTGTTTCTGTCGGGTAATAAATATCACAGGCCGGGATTTTCTTTGAGAAAGATGAAACGGACGTCTCCCATTGATTAGGTCCGTTTGAAGTCAGCTGCAGCTTAAAGCGCAGCACTATCAAACTAGTCTTTAATTCAAAAAAAGACTGAAATATGCAGCCATTTACGGGCAATTCATGAAGGAAAGACGATCAGTTCTTCAAGTTATAATGTGCCGTGTAAAAGGATTCCTCTAGGTTAGGATTTAATATCTCCAACTGTTTCGTCTTCAGGGTGTAAAATCTTTTATTAGCAGCAATAGGACATAAAACAAGTATTCAATTAGCTTGTACAATTGATTTAATAATACCAAATATAATAGATAATGTCTTTAACTCTGACCAGCTGTGGACACGGTGAGCAGAAGGAAACGCTAGAGCCGATGTGAGAACCAGGGTGAGATGGTTCCCAATGAAAGGCGAGGCGCATTGGGAGCAGATGGACACAAACGGACAGAGTGGGAATATGCTGATGGTCGTTACCTTGGCTGCTAATGCGGCGCCTCCCGTGGGGACTGTGGGTAATGCAGACAACAGACCGAGGCTTTTAAGCTGCGGCCGGTGGGAGCCAGACACGGAGAACTTCCATTAGTCCAATTAATTGACTCGCACCACACAGATCCTCCACCGAGAATACGAGCGCAATCATTCAGTCATCTTCTGCCAACAGGTGTTAGCATATACATGCATGCGTGTGTGTTTGACGCTGTACTAGCACTGCACTCTGAGATGAGCTCTGTCGTAATTTGTTTTTATTATAGCTAAGATTTGCTTCCCTATCCATGCTACAAATAAAGAACCTAGAGCTAAATAACTGCAGGTACGACTGCAGGTATAGTAATAATAATAATAATAATAATAGTAGTGTATCATATGTGACACTTCCAATCTATGCTGATCATTTTCTTGCCAATAGCTGATAAATTATAAAAGTGACATTCATTTAAAAATCAAGAAAGATGGCAGGATCCCCTCAGGGACGCGGCTTTAAACAGATAAACACTTACATGCGGCGCTGATGGAGGATGATGAGAGTAATTCACAGTAATAATCTTTACAAATCAGCAGTTATGATCTTCTGCTTTTCTGCATAATTCGAGCCCGACGGCGTCGTCCCAGAGTTGGATTTCCGTGGAAGGACTCCAGCTATTGATTTTTCCAGGAGGCATTTTGACGTGTCAGAGCAGCTAATGGCTGAACTCCATCCAGCCACTTCATTTTCAGGCCAATCGCACTCCTCCCGCTCTCTTCCACACACACTTTTACAAACCTCACTAAACATTGAGAGTTGATAAAATGAACTCTCGGATGAGCTGGATGTTGGTAAAGTAAAAGCAGATTTCCATGAGAGGGAAAAAAATAATTTTAGATCACAAAACAAGCTTTTCAAGCTCAGATTCAGTCGGCATTAATTATTTATTTTTTATTTTTTTATTAGCATCTGCTTAACCTTCTGAACATTTGCTTTACATTTCAAGGTGACCCTCAGAAACATGATTGAAAATAATTTAGTTTTTGGTCAAATTTAAAAATATATATATTTGATCTGGGTTCACAAAATGCAAAGAATCACTAAGCTTAAGATATTTAATATGCTTGTTAAATGAATTTCAAGAATATGTGACATCAGCTTAGTTTGAATGCATACTCTAACGCAGGCGACTGTGGCTGTGTGGGTAGAGTAATTGTCTTGCAATTGGAAAGCTGTAGGTTTGATTTCAGATTCCTCCTGCCGCACGTCGATGTGCCTCTGGGCAAGGCACTTATCCCCACATTGCCTACTGATCGGTGTAAAAACGTTCTGCTTCTGGCCGTATTTTGTGTCTTTCATCAGTTCGAGATCTGACAGAAACCGTAAACACTCAAACTTGTAAATTAATCACCATTTAGACCTGAATTACAATTTTTTTCTGTTTCACAGAACACGGCGAACGCAACGCTAACAAATCCACTGAAATAAAAATCGGCATTGCTCTGATTACGCGTTCTCTTTTTATCATTCATAATCGCCGCTACCTTCATTCCCCTCATGCCACTCCTCTCGTCCTTTTTGTCCCTCACTTGCTTTATCTCTATTCAACAGATGACTCCCTCCCTCTGTCCCCTGCACTTCTACACGTCTATCTATCATTGTAATGACCTGTTCATGTGGGTTCCCCAGCATCTCTCCTCTCGTCATCCCTCCCTCCCTCCGCTGCATCTCCACCCGTCCCTCGTAAGGCTGGATAATCCCATCTTCCCAACTCCATTTATCTCTTTCACTTAAACCCCAACATCCCATCACCTTCTAAATTTTTCCTTCGTGCAAAAGTTTCACCAACCCAAATTCCATGTGCTCATTGAAAATGCTGGATTTTGCTTATTTTCATATTTGCCAGCACAGCTTTAATGCTCACCATCATCTTATTGATTTATTTTATGTAAAATAATGATATGATGCTGATGAATATTTGCTTTCAATTGTGACATTTTTAATCAACTATGCCGTAGCGTTCTACTCAGGATTTTACTAATTAAATCAATCCATTAGCTGCTGATCATGCGTTTGTTTCTTAATTGCCTATGTCAAAGAATAAGATCTGCATTATTATTAATTGTTTTCCTATGAATTTAACAACAGATGTGTGTCCTTGCAGTTCATTACAGGAGAGTATCCTGTTAGTTCAGCAGCATAAACCCAACACCTGGAATCTGGCTTAAAACCAAGCCAATTCCTACACATATTTCCATTGGATTTGTGTATAAAGACATAAATATCTGGTGAGAATGTCAGGATATGGTCCTGCTATCCCTGCTGATCAGCTCAGCCTTCCTGACTCCACAATTCACAATTCAAAGGACAAGAGCACAGGTTATTTTCCCCTTCCTTTCCTTCTCTCTCCCTGTGGAACAAATTACTCTCAGTGGATGACTAGTGCCTTTACCGTGGAGAGATAGATGAGATGAAATGATGTAAATGATATAGGAGAAGATGGTGAAGAAAACTAGAGTCAGAGCAGGTGGAAGGAGACAGACATTATGACTAACAATACCAACCAAGAGAGGTGAAGTCAAGTGCATAAGGCTGATCATCTCTTCTTCAGGACGCCATGACACCGTTGGGTTTTAGGGGACACCAAATTAACATTTTGCCCTCGATGTCTCGGAAGCAAAACAAATCAGCAAGCAAACAAGACAGGGAAAAAATAATAAAGGTTTGAAAGCCATGCCAAACCAAAACATTTAGAAACTACTTTCTACTGAGAATGACCTAAAGGGACCTGGCGTTTTGCACACCTGAATGGTTGCCATGGAAATGAAAGGATTTTTTAAACATGCATGAAAGAATCAAGGCAGTTTAGACGTGAGAATAGCATGACGTAAGCTCAAAGTCAAATTTAAAGAACACTGCCCCTTTAAACACTTCCCCACAGCCGTCAGAGCCATTACTCCCTGCCGCCCCCTCCCACACATATCATAACCTCACATACCCCCCACCCCACACACAGCCATTGCACTTGCACTGTCACATCATCTGCACTTTACCATAATTGGACCTGCTGCTTCTTCTTTGGTGTGGTTGAGTGCCTTTAGTTAATTTTAGTTGTATATATTATTATTATTGTGTGTTTGTTTATTTAATATTGTATATTTTGACTTTTTGCACGGGAGTTGCAATAGAAATTTCGTTGAATCCTGTTCAATGACAATAAATGCTATTCTATTCTATTCTATTCTATTCTATAAAATTCATAAATGATGTCGTGTATTGACAGCATGAGTGCAGTTCGCTTAGAGTGACATGCATCACTGCTGTCAATTGATCTCTCGGCAGAGCTGAACAGAATACTCTGGGGCATCATCAATTACGTTAACCGACCCGGCCGGTCTCGTTCGATCATTTCCCGACACTGGGCTGACCCAATCACATCTCTCAGCTCTCCCTCCACACCGTCACACACTTTTCGAACACTTCGTGTAACAACACTGACTCATACACACACTCAAATCATGCCAGAAACTCACATTAGCAGTAAAAAAAGTGGATCAATACACTATTAGACAGCCCATTAGAATGTTATACCTAAGTGGTGTCAATATCATTAAAAAAAAGAAAAGAAAAACAATAGTATTGCTATGGTAAAGTAAGGATGTAAGAATGACATAAAACAAAACAAGCACATGGAATTTTGGTAAAATAAATTTTAAATTAAAGAGAGAAATTTTAAATTAATTTAGAACGTAATGATAAAAGGATCAATTGACGTTTCACATGATTCGTGACAAAAAAAATATGAATAAAACCTCATTTTCTTTTCACCAGCTATATTGGCTTCCCTCACTTTTATAGACGCAGGAAGACAAAGACCTTCGTTTGCGCTGCAGATGTATGAGCAGTGGGTGGTGCGCAGCAAGCAATTACAAAGGAAGCAAAACATTAACTTCAAGCACCAGCCTCCAACTTAGAGAGTACTCATAGCCACTTAGAGTGATTGCCTGCTAAGCACAATTTAGTCATATCAACACGGAAAAAAAAAGAAGAAGGAAAAAATGTACGGAGCAAAAACGCTCAGACAGTTCTCATCAAAAGGACATCGACTTCAGCAAAACACTCGTGGAATTGATGTGACTGGCTTCAAAGGCACGTTTTAATCATTTCATTGATGCTTTTGACTGTTGGAAGCGTTTTTCCTTTTTTTTCCCCTGTGGATTGACAGTTTTCTTCGGAGGCCGTTCATTTTCAAGATTTCGATTAGTCCTCAAAATCTTGAAGCATGAACTTCCTGGTTGGTTTAGTTGTAGAGAGTAGCTCAAAAAGGCTTGCAACAGCTACACATCCAAAGTAACTTAACAGAAAGGCCTTTGGGATATATTTTGCAGAATGTTCTCCTGCAATGGAGCTTGTTGTATAAATTTACATGTAAGTACTGTATAATAATCAGTGACAGCCAGAGAAGGCGAGTGAGGAAGAGACTCACCTGTCGTAATGGAAAAATATAATGATAAAATCATTTATATTGCCATTTTCATTATTGCTGTTGTGCTCTAAAGTATTTATTTTTGATTTAGCTTAATCAATTCTGATTATCCTTTCTTCAAAATCACTGAATTTTCACATTTTCCCATTCAAATGCTTGGAAGCGAAGCTGGTGAGGCAGCAGGAAGATGAGCCTCACCTTTGATTGATCAACCTCTGGCTAACTGCACTGGCTGCCATTCAATGAGAGCATGTTATATCTGTACATCACCAATAAAATGGTTAAAAAAACCTTATATCAACTGATTTTCCATCATTTAGCTTATGTATATAATGTACGGTGTTTTTTGTCACCAACTGAGGGTGTAACATGTTTTGTGTGCTGAGGAGCGATCAGAAACGACAGAGAACCGATTCGAGCTGAGGCAGGCAGGGGGCGCTCATGATCCCAGAAATTCTGACTCCACAACCGCAGAGGAAGACACAGTATCAGCGAGCTAGCCATTCAGTAAAGTTAAGTGCAGCGATATATTTACAGTTTTCTCCTCTTACCACAGCGATCACTTATTAATAATCGCAAAAACCATAACCTTTGCCCTCCAGCATTGTCCGCATGGGCGAAATTTAATTATGTAAACAATACCATGCAGGGGGTCAATATTTCTATATCTGATTATGATTAAGTCAGTGCTTCACCAGCTTTGCGTCTCACCACACGTCACTGATAATAATATGACAAATTGAATGTTCACGTTGCAGTTTTAAAAATTCTTATTATTTCCACCTAACCTGCTTCCAAACCTGTCAATCCTGGAATAAAACCATTTCTAATAAATGACGGAGAAGAAGAACCATGAAAATGTTCACATGGGATGTATTTTGCAGAATATTTACTTATTTTCTTAAGTAAATATTATTATATGCAGACTAGACTATATATTATGCCTTTATACACAGCCAGTCGACTCCATACGACTAAAACCAGAAATAAAAAGAGATATTTTCTAATAAACTTTCTAAATTAAAGTTAGAAAGTGATAAAGTCACATAAATAAAGTAGTAGATAAGAAAAAAAATGACTTTATTCCTCAGTTATCAAAGCAGGAACAAAAAGAGGGGGGGTTGTATCGACAAGCTGTTATTACAAAATGTCCTGCAGCAGACACAACCTTTCAGTAACCCATTAAGTTATGTACGGAACAACTAAACTGCCAAAGAACAGAGTGACAATATGTTAAGATAAACAGCAGATATAAATAAAAAAGATTTTTTTAAAACTCAGAACATGAAAGAAAATTAAGTCTGAAGAGATTTGGCCACTCACTCGGCACCCTGTTGATGGCCTTGAGAGGCCGCAGCACCCTCACCGTCCTGATAGCTGTGAAGTTGATGTTCTGCAAATCCAGGGAATATTCAACCATCCTGGAAAACACAAAAAGCAGAGGATAATAATTAACATCGCGTTATGATTTAGTGGTAATTTCATCTTTAGTTGCACCCTCAGATGATTCATTATCCATTTCATCCATCCAGATTTGTTCCCATTAGAAAGCAGAGACAGAAACACACACACATCCCCACTCAGACTGGGTCCTGCTGTGCTGAGAGTAATATGAATAATGTGCTTGAATAAATGGACTTTTTTAATTCAACTTACTCAAATAAACTCTGAGGGATAGCTCTGCAAACAAGCTGATTTTTATCACTTTTATTTTATTTTATTTTTTGTTAATTGTTCGCTGACCATGAGGCTTCGCATTTGGATCCAGGTGAAAAAAAGAAGAAAAAAATAAAAAGAATGTCTAACTGCACTTGAATAAGTGCAGTGGATCCTCCTGGGCTCTTGCAAAGTGGCTCTGCTGCCTTTTAGCACACGGAGCGATGCATCAAAGTGAGTCCTGTCTGTCCGGAGGCATCTGCGAGCGACACAGAGAGAGAGCGAGAGGCCTCGAGATTGAATGTGGAACCATCTGACATGAAAGCAGAGAGTAACTAAAGGCGGCGAAAACGGGAGGCGGAGGAGGAGAAACCCCGGCGACAGGTAAAACCCAAGACCAGCATGCCATAATGGAAAACGAGAGGGGAAGGCAAAGAGAACGCGTTTTGCTATTTGACCCATTTTTGACAATTCATTACACTGGCAATATACTTCGCCCGCGGTATGGAAGACAGCTGGAGAGAGTGGGAAATACGAGGCGAGGCTGCCGTGAAATCAGAGGAGAAAACAAATACTACAGGAGATGGAGAAGAAGCACAAGACGGGGAGGGAGGAGGGAAGAGATCAGAAACAGGGCTGAAAAAGCGCCGAGCGTTGATTAAGTGCAATATAATGAAGGCAATAAAGTCAGATTGAGAGGGAGAGCCGGAGAGAGCCTGAGGCTTTTATGAAGTGTTGGAGATAATTACAACTTTAGGAACAGACAGAGAGAAGAGAACAATAGACATATATATATATATATATATATATATATATATATATATATATATATATATATATATATATATATATATATATATATATATCATTTATATATCATTATATACCCAATGGACGGTTCTATATATATATATATATATATATATATATATATATATATATATATCTGAACAGAAATAAAACAGCTGCATGAAGATTTAAATAAAAAAAAATGAATTAAAAAAAAGCGCTGGGGAAGTGAGAGGGCAGACTATTGTCAAGAGGTGCAAAAGAAAAGTATGAGAAATGGAGGAAAGTTTCAGGTATTTGACACAAATGTTCTACTTTTGCTAAAATATTCCAACTCTTTGTATTAAGCAGATTTCCATGAGAGAATGTGAAATTTTTTATTTATTTTTTTTGCAGGGGATTAAAAAGCCCTGGAGAATTATTCACTTTCAAACACTTGACCTATGACCTGGAGGAATCATCTTTTAGGAATTGTCAGGAAATTAACAATGACTTGGAAAGAAACTTAGTTGATTTTAGAGGCAGTTCAAGAAAAGAATAATATATATATATATATATTACAAACGTAATTCCTACGTCTGTTAAATTAAATGGCAGAGTGGAAAAGGAAAAGGCTTCCTAAAGTAAAATAGAATGAAAACCTGTCATGTTTTGTGGCGTTTGTATTTGTTAGAAGGAGCATATCATGTTTACAATTAGCAGAAAGGTGATGAATAGCAGCTGATTATTGAATGGATTATTTTCAACCTTTTTTAGGCTTTAATGAACATTGTAACTGATGAGCTGGCATGTAAAAAAAATAAACACAACTTCCTTTTTTGTGGACTTTTGATTGTAAACAGTCATTTAATGCTGAAAAAAATCCAAATAACAAGAATAAACGATAAAAACCAAAGAAGGAGCTCATGTTTTTCCAACCCAGGAAGGATGAAAATCACACATCAGGTTCACATGAGTTGAAATCCTTTACTCAGCATGTGAAAAGAGATTTGCCCTGTTTAGAAGTGAAACATTTAGTTTTCTGTGCTTTCAACAACACGGAAAGATAGAAGAAGCTGCTTCTTCTTTTTTAGGAAACCTGAATGGTTTTTATACTAACCATACCCTTAATTTTTTTTTTCTTATTTATCTATGTCAACTTTTGGAAAGGTGTGCATGGTAAATGAAAACAGGCTAATTAGCTTGGCTAAAGACGTCTGGTGCTTAAATTGGTATTTATTCGCCACGTCTCCCTTAAACACATTTCTGACTGATTTCACCTCTCTGCAGTTGGCCAAAATACTTTGGCTTAAACAGCACTGTACTAAAATTGCTTCACTTCCTGCCCCGAGTTTGTTTGCGCTAGCATGACGTTGCATTAGCATTTGTTTTGTTTTGGTTTTTTGTTGGGGTTTTTTAAAGCCAACACCACTGAACCACTGCACACATTTCTTCTGTTACAAAGTGAGTTTCTTGTAAATCGTTTCTGTTTCTTTTATACTCACCATCACTGCTTGTCTAGTTAGTTCCCACAACCGGGGCAGGTGTGTGGGAGCGGCCGGTCCAGCATTTCCCGTATGACGTCACTGATTGCATCACTGGGCCCACCCAATGGACGGTTCTCTTTTTTGCATTGTATTGCATTGCTTATTCTCTTCAAAGTAACCTTTTGAGTCAACTGTTTTAAGCTGGCAAACCATTTAATTGTCTGGATGAGTTTGTAAATTAGATTTACAAACGTATTCCTTTTTATTTTTTTGTTTGTTTGTTTGTTTGAAAGACTGGGAGAACGAGAAATTTAGAAAAAATAAGGAAACATTTAATAAATATACAAGGAGATTGAGAAAGTTGTGAGTATTCGACTTTTGATAAGATTTTACAAAAACACAAATCTCATTAACAAAATGAGACCATCAATAAAGCATCTACAATAAAACAGACATTTTGGGGGCACACTCCGTACCAATAGGTGGCGGTAATGCATACATAATGTTTTGTTGTTTTCTTTGGGGGTTTTCGTTGCCAGCCCCAAAACAAATCAAGAAAAATAATTCTGTAGTAAACCAGTCAAATTAAAAAAGTCTGATGTCAGAAAAGAAACATGAGACAGAATAAATTCCACCAATTAGAACATTGCTCATGCTCATTTCTTAATTTCTTATATTTCCTTTCTTGACACTGAATGCACTACTTCACGTTGCTTTGAGAGACCTCAATCAGACCTTCAAAACAAAAGAGCCACTAAGAGGGCAAAAATAAATTATGCAAGACTCTTGGCATTCTTTGTTCACAGAGTTCAGACCATTAAGGAGGTTTACTGATGCCTAAATGCTAAGATCAAACCTGTCCTTGAGCTCTTTTATTTCCGTAGCATTTGGAGCTTTAAATTATTCACGGTGCCGAGCGGTGCCAGGAGTCCCGATATCGTTTTGTAAATGTTTAGATTTTGTTCAGATGTTTTCAAATTTGGTAGAATCTGCTGCAAACAAAGTTGTCCTCTAAGGAAATAAAATAAATGATTAAATGATTTCAATGATTCAAGGTTGTTCTGATCAGTCTTAGGAAATATGATTCGCCATTGTGTCACACTTTTTTTTAATAGTTTTGTTCACAAAATTAAGTCCCAAGAGAAAAAAGAACTCGCCAGCTGGGCTTCTATTACGAATTCACCCAAAACTTTTGTCAGTCCTCTACTCATGTTGAAAAAACACAATTTCACAATTGCAGTGTTTTCATTAATAGGAAACGCAAATAAAATTACATGAATAAGTTTGCTCATGCGATAAGTCATTAAAAACCATCGTCCAACTACTTCCTGTCATCTTCCTCATGGTTTCCGCCAGTAGTAACATCTGGCTGTTGCTTGTGGGGCTCGTGCAATGCCAAACGAGTGTTTCCATTGCAGTTTTGTGAAGTAAACCAATTTAGATCAGAAAAAAAGAACACCTCATCCTAGTTCCAAAACTTTATCAAAAAAGTAGTTTTTTAATTTTTTTTAATTTTCATATTTTCATTAAGCAAATTTATTTTTAAATGTCCATTTGCTCAATGGAAACACAGCTGCTGTCACAGGCAATAGAGAACGAGTCATTTGCCTTTCAGTCCAACCAGCCGACCTGGACATTTTTGGTGTAGGGAGGTTCTGGGTCTTGCTGACCCAGGCTTCAATAGGGAGGCCTGTGAGCAGCTGTGCAGGTCCATCTGCTGGCCCGTGAAGTATGAAGTATCACTGCTGCTGGCAGGATTATGTCTCAACCCCGATCATGACAGGAGGAAGCCAGCCGCTCTTCCTACTGCTTCTTCCTCAGACAAAAATGTGCTAATAGTACACACAGACAGAAGGCAAGGTCAGAGTTCACGGCATTTTCCTTTAATGACACAAAGTTGGTCTGTTGGTTGTGTTTTATTCACATACGCAGGCTCCTCGGCCGAACCTTTCCGGCTGCCTATTACCGTACTTGGCCATAGTCAGGCGCCTTTCCTTAATTAGCGTTACACTAAGCTATAATGAAAAACCCTAAACTATTGTAACCCTGATATACACTGACTACTTACCAAACTTTTGTGTTCAAAGTCAAGGAATAAAAAACAACAACAAAAACTGTAATAGAAATTGTTACACAGAATAGAAATATTATCTTTGGCAGTCATTGAACGAGAGGCGCCCTTGTACAGGTTGCTAGTCCATCACAGGGCAACACACACGCACACGCCTACACACACGCACACACACACACACACGCACGCACACGCCTACACACACACACCAACACACACACACACCCGCACACACACACACACACAGGATAAAAAACCTCATTCATGCACAAACTCCGCTGAGAGCAATTTACAGAAACCAATTAACCCAACGGTCATCTTTTTCAGACTGCATGTGGACGTCTAAGTATGGTTCTGGATGGAGAAAATAGAATAAAAGGAGGCTAAAGAAGTTCAGTGCTGCTCTAATCTGGGTTGTAACACCAAGGTTTGGGTTTTA